CGGGGGGGCTGCCTTAATGGACGTCCACATCATCGGCAGATTTGTCCACCTTGCCGGCTCGGGGATTCGAACAAGAAACCTTTCGGTTACTCTAACCATGACCATCTTCCTGCTCTTTGTGACACAGGAAAACACAATAACTATGTGTCCAACAGTCATATCTCCCTCTCCTGATGAACGCTCAAATCAAGGCCATATAAATGTATCTGCTACTATATTGGAATGTTGCAGGTAACACAAGGTTGTGGATTCTTGCTCCATATTGTTCATTGCACAAACCCACCCACCATCCTAATTCTTCCAGTGTGATACATTTCTTACTTTCCCTTAGCATGCAGAAAGAAAATCAGAGAGGGGAGAAGAAACGGTCTTAACATGTAATAAAGTTGGGCAAACTGGTTGTCAAATATGAACTTTTTGTTCCGGAGCTTGATAGTTGTGCAACAGCCAATAGCAAATATAAATGCTTGTGAAGTGATTACTAACTTTGACCTGCATTGCTGAGGCCCGATTACATTCACTTCTGTCTTTGAGGTCTAGGCTAGTAGCCTATAGTTTACACACAATACACTTTTTGCTAGGCCTAGTCTACTTGCACTGCACTTACAACCAAAAATGCACATAAAGAAACCTGAATTGAAATTGATTCTTAAATCCTCCCCCACAAAGCTAATAACAATTCAATAAAGTACAACGCTGTAAAGTGCAATAAAAGACAGTCTACAACTTTAAGGTTAACATGACTACTGGTACTTGACCTAAACGAAAGCCTCACTCACTGGTGTTGCGGCCAAAGCAAGGCCCATTCCAATCACGCCATTGGTGCAAACCTATCAATCAATTTACCGTCGTCATAAATGTAGCCCTAATTGTTTACCTAGCTATACCTATAAAAATATTCCCAATTCAACTGGCACAGGTGGTTTGCAGAACAATTGAACTTTCCAGCGTGGTCCTGAACAAGATACTATACCATTTTGATTAAGTTTTACTAATGAAAACAATGAATTGCATCAAAGACTCATTGTATGGATAGAATATAGCAGTCTTGCAAACAAGAGGCATGTGCTCTACTAAATAATGAGTGATTGCCAAAATTCACACATCCACTAGGTCAAGGAGGATGTAAATGCCTTGATCAAAAGAATTGCAGCGAATTTTTAGTAGCTCAAACAAGTCAACTTGTTTGTTATCTCACAATTTAGCATGTTATATCAAATGCATTGCTCTAATTGAATGTGATACTGATTGGCTGGCAACTTGTCCACGTTTTATCCTCCGTTACTAATTACTAGCTGGCTAGCTCGCCATCAGCGGCTAAATATGGTTTAGTCCAAACTATTTGGCTGCAATTCTGCAGGGTGTTGTGCTTAGTTAGCTTGCTAACTTACCTGTTTATCAGTCCCCTTATCAGTTGATTGGTGACTCTCTTCTGTATTTATTCGATTTCAATGCAATCTAGCTATCGGAGTTGTCACGTTAGATGCGCAATTACTATGCATTAGGTGGCTAATTCAGATGTAAACATTTGTCAGTCGCTAAAGCCGTGAGCTAGCCAACTAGCTTTTTGGCTAGTTCGGTTGCCTTGCTTTTCGGATCCGCCGCTCCGTGAATCAGTCTCTTCCACACGCTATGGATAATGTGATCTGGCGCTGTAGTTTGACACTAGCAAGGGAAAAGTTGTTGGTGGTGGCTAAACGTCAGCTAATGTTGACAAAAAAATCTGCGATAAAAAAAAATCACACTTTTGAAACTAGCGAGATTAGCAATGCTAGCTAATTCAAAGCCAGTTTCAAAATCAATTCGATGTGTTCAGCTATACTCCATCTCTCCTTAAAAAATCAAGTTATTCCGAAATCCAATTTGCGTTTGTTTTGAAGTTGTCATTCACGGTTTACTAATATTTTAATTGTCGCGTTGGTCTCTATACTCCGCCATTTTCAACCTATCGCTAAACAAACAGTTTAGCTCATGCACGTACAATGCTCGTTCACGAGCAGAGCGCTTTGCCTCTGCTCAGTGGGCTGTAACTACTTGATTTCCGATGTAGCCTTCAACACGCATGCTTAAAAAATAAACCATTCACAAAAACATATATAAGAGGCTGTTCGTGCAACTGCTTTACAGATCTATGGTGATATTTCAAGTTCACATGGCTAGTTAGTGGGATAGCCTTGTATTAGTGGCACTGGCACCAGTATATAAATGTTTGAGTCAGAGTGAGAGAAAATTGTCTGTTTTACCAAGAAGTCAGGGTCCACAGTTCAAAGAACGCATTGTACTATACATAAACATCACAGGAGGTTGCTGAGGGGAGGACGGCTGATAATAATGGCTGGAATGGGGTGAATGGTATCAAACACATGGGAACCATCTGGCCTTAATGGAACAATCTGGCCTTAATGACTATGTACTCTTATCTCCACCTGGCACAGCCAGAAGAGGACTGGCCATCTCACAGAGCCTGGTTCCTATCTAGGTTTCTTCCTAGGTTCCTGCCTTTCTAGGGAGTTTTTCCTAGCCACCGTGCTTCTGCATTGCTTGCTGTTTGGGGTTTTAGGCTGGATTTCTGTATAAGCACTTTGTGACATCTGCTGATGTAAAAAGTACTTTATAAATACATTTGATTGATTGATTATTGAATGTGTTCCATCCATTACTATGAGCCTGTCCTCCCCAATTAAGGTGCCACCAGCCACCTGTGATAAACATTGTCATGTAGGAAATATATTCAAGACTACACAAAATATTATTGGGGGTTTTTTTAGAGGAAGAGAGCGCTTGTTATTGTTTTTCGCTTTGTACTCCACTCCACTAGGTGGCAGAATGAGCAAGGCTGGGGAGTCGGGCCGACGCTAGTCGGACGGAAAAAATATGGCGGAAGCAGATGATGAAGTGGATTCTGAATCTAATGGCGGTATAATCAAGGAGAATTTGAATATTGTCCAAAAGAATGGAAAACGGAGCAAAGTAGAGTACAATGATGAGAATGTTCCTTCGTATCTTGTAGGAGTACGGTTTGTAAATGAGGAGCAACTGATCGAGTTTTAAGTTCCTCGGCGAACATATCACTGACAAACTGAAATGGTCCACCCACATAGACAGTGTGGTGAAGAAGGCGCAACAGTGTCTCTTCAACCTCAGGAGGCTGAATAAATTTGGCCTGTCACCTAAAACCCTCACAAACTTTTACAGATGCACAATTGAGAGCATCCTGTCGGGCTGTATCACCGCCTGTTACGGCAACTGCACAGCCCGCAACCGCAGGGCTCTCCAGAGGGTGGTGCGGTCTGCACAATGCATCACCAGGGGCAAATTACCTGCCCTCCAGGACACCGACAGCACCCGATGTCACAGGAAGGCCAAAAAGATAATCAAGGAGTACTACCACCCGAGCCACTGCCTGTTCACCCCGCTCGGCGAGGACAGTACAGATGCATCAAAGCTGGGACCGAGAGACTGAAAAACAACTTCTATCTCAAGGCCATCAGACTGTTAAACAGCCATCACTAGCTGCTGCCTACATACAGACTTGAAAATCACTGACTACTTTAATAAATTAAACACTAGTCACTTTAATAATGGCACTTTAATGTTTACATATCTTGCATTACCCATTTCATATGTATATACTGTATTCTATACTATCTATTGCATCTTAGACTATGCCACTCTGATAATTATAATGACATTGCTCATCCATATATTGATATATTCTTATTCCATTCCTTTACTTAGATTTGTGTGTATTAGGTTTTTGTTGTAGAACTGTTAGATATTACTTGCTAGATATTGCTGCACTGTCGGAACTAGAAGCACAAGCATTTCGCTACACTCGCAATAACATCTGCTAACCATGTGTATGTGACCAATACATTTGATTTGATTTCAATTACCAATCTTGAGGAATCCATTTGAGATATCGAAACTGGTGGAGAGCATGCTGGGTAGAGTGAAGGATGTGAGGATCACGAGAAACGTGTGTTGCGTCTCACCCGATTTGATAAGTTTGAAGTGTCGTATGTGTCTCTTAGGAACAGGGCACCCCTCAAGGGGGTTATATCTGGAGTCTCGTGGGAAGTAGATGTTCAAGAGATGAAACATATTCCTGGAGTGATTGATGCACGTCGGATGAATCGTGTGGTGAATGAAGAAAAAGTGTTATTTTGTTTTTGATATGGCGTCTCTCCCTACTCAAGTGCCGTTAGGGTATATTAACTACAGAGTCAGAGCATTTATCCCAAGACCAATGCAGTTTGATCATTGTGAAGCTTTTGGTCATGTTTCATGTGTTTGCCAAGATGTCCAAATAGTGGAAAAGATCCTATTATGTGTTATAAAAGTGATGAAAATGTGACATGTTGCAATTGTGGTGGGAACCATGAAGCCAAGTCTTTCAAATGCCCCACAAGGGTGAAAGAGAATGAGGTGGCCAAAGTCAGGGCTATCCAGAGCATATCATATGCAGCAGCTGTTAAAAGGGTTGAGGGTTTGAATGGTGCACTTGAAGAGTCCATGGTGGTGGATAGGCCTTCACTGCAGGCTGCAGGGGTTGCCTTTCACCAGCAGGATCCTGACATTTTAAAGGTTAAGAAGGTGGACTTTGTGGCCTTTATAGCTATGGTGATAAATGGCACTGCCAAGGTAGAGAGAAGGTCCAGGAAGATAGAAATCATTGTGGAAGCGGCAGAGCGGTTCCTGGAGCTGAAAGATTTATTGGGGAAGGAGTTACATGGAATATTGTCACAAGTAGTACCACCCTCTCAGGCCCTAGAGCCTGAGAAAGGAGATATGGAGAATTGAAAGAAGTGGGAGTTTGTTTTGTTTTGTCAATGTACTATTTTTATTTGGGTGGATTAAGTTAGTTTCCCTATCACGTATGGATATTTTTTTTTACTTGTTTTGGTTTCAACCCGTCCAGTTGGCGGCGGCAATACACCTTTTTGGGTTGTAGTCCGCCATAAAACCCAAAGAAGAAGAAGAAGAAGAAGGAGGAGGCTGTGGATTCTTTGATGACGTAATTTGACTGCGCCGGCGTACCTTTTCACTCACACATCGGACTTCGTGATGGCAGAGCAGGTTTCTGAGTACGTATTTGTTTACATGTTGATCTAAGTCCATCCTTTGCTAAATTTATAATTTTCAAAAAATGTCAATGGCATAAATGTATAATTAGACTAATAGGGTTCCGTCAAGCCATGTATTTGTATGATTTGTCTGAAAGATGCTCAGTACAGAGAGCTAGATAATTGGTTCTGTTTCACATGGGTATGACGTTACATTAGACATAACTAAGCCAACTTAAATAATGACATTTTAATGTTTCGACACAAGTAACACGAAACATAATCTGCTATCAAATAATTATATAACGTGACCAGAATGCCATAGCTACATTTGTATTATTTTGGTTTGCCTTCAAAGGTAGGGCATGGCTGGCTAGCTAACTAACCAAGTTTACTTGCAAGCTAGGTAACTTCATTTCACTCATGAATCAGATCCGTGTCATGGTTTTTGTTGCAGATGGATATGGGAATAATCTTGTCAATAGTTCGGTGTGCTTTGGCCTTATCGCACCATTGTATTCTTTGTATGATATGAGTGTTGATGAGATGTCTTGTGTTTAGAGTGAAGAGGGTGATAAAGTTGGTTCCTGAGAACCTTCTGAAGAAGAGGAAGGCCTACCAAGCCATCAAAGCCACTGAGGCCAAACGTGCACTTCTAGAGAAGAGAAAGGTAACCAACTATGCGGGGCCAATGTTTTACCATGGTGGCCTTTTAATCATTTACCTATGATTGTTTTGATTTTTATAAAGTTGTAGGCCATCAACAAGTGTAAATGTGTTCATTCAGGTATCTAAAGGGAAACCCTTGAAGTTCAAGCGCTTGGAGGACTTCCTGAAGGAGAGCCATAGAAAGCATCGCGATGAGACCCGTATCAGGAGAGCAGATCACAGACCAGCTCCAGCCATGCCCCCTGCAAAGAACAGACTGGCCTTCGCTGTCCGCATCAGAGAGTGAGTGGCTGAAATCTGTAGTTACATGATGTGATTGTATAAGTGGTGCAAATAAAGCTGTGCAAATCTTGCCTGACTATTCTATACTCACAATGGAGCGTAAGTGGCTATGCAGTCACAATCATCTGGAATTACAGTATTCCATCAGCTCATCTTTAGTGGTCTGGATGAATATCGAGGTAACGTTTATATCTGTCTCTCTGTGCAGGATCAAAGGAGTCAGTCCCAGAGTTCAGAAGGTGATCCAGATGTTACGCCTGAGAAAGATCTTCAGCGGTGCCTTTGTCAAAGTTAACAAGACTTCTATGGGCATGTTGAAAATGGTTGGGCCTTATGTGGCATGGGGGTAAGTGAGAATGGGGGTCAGACTTTGGGGACCTAGGGACTGAACAGAAAATCTACTTCATGTATTGAGATTAATCCACCCTGATGTATATAATCAACTAGTTGGACAATGTATTGTAATAACTATGGCAAATGATTCAAATTAAACAGGTTTCCCAACTTGAAGTCAGTTCGTGAACTGATCTTGAAAAGAGGACAGGCCAAGATTAACAAGCGAAGGGTTGCTCTCACAGACAACACACTCATTGAGCAGCATATGGGTAAGGATCACAATTAATAATATGTATTTGTTCATCAGCGTGTGGAGTTACAAGTCTTGGTACATTTTGTATGTGCATGTCAAATTAGTCATGTAGAAAAGTTGTCATGCAGATAATTTACCACAGTGATTTTAATTGAGATACAGGTACATTACAATGTTTACATCATACCCTCTCCTCTCAGGCAAGTATGGGATCATCTGTCTGGAGGACTTGATCCATGAGATCTACTCTGTGGGGAAGAACTTCCGGGTGGTCAGCAACTTCATATGGCCGTTCAAGCTGTCTGTGGCTCGTCATGCTGCCAGGGACAAGGCAGGTCTTCTGAAGGACATAGGCAACCCAGGACCTAGAGGGACGGACATTAACTCGATAATCAGGCAGCTCAACTGAGGCTACACAAGACACTTTCATGTCAGACTTTTCTTGGAGCCAATGATGAACCTTTTTTGTTTGTCATAGCCTACTCATTGGTGGTTCTTTAATTCATTTATTTTCATGTCAATACTCTGAATTAGCCAGTCTGGCATGAGAAAAGAGATACCTTACAGATTCATAAGGATTTAATTCATCTTCATCTCAGAATTTATAATAATAAATAATAATATGCCATTTAGCAGACGCTTTTATCCAAAGCGACTTACAGTCATGCGTGCATACATTTTTGTGTATGGGTGGTCCCAGGAATCGAACCCACTACCTTGGCGTTACAAGCGCCGTGCTCTACCAGCTGAGCTACAGAGGACCACTTTATACTGGACCTGATCAGAATTGAACACCTGGACAGACAGTGCCCCTCTGGACTATGTTGTGATTAGACGGCAGTTATTGACCCTCCCTTTGTTGAAACATTTGTATTCTCAGTATGTTGCCACCTCTGCAGTTGCAATAAGGCCATTCTATGGAGATGCTAACAGCATCACTACTTTTCCCCTCTGGTTTTCAGAGGGATGTCATTATGCTTACTATGTATGTGAGATTACAATACTTTGTTTATTTATCAATAAACTGAAACAACAATTGCTTTACTTTGGAGTGCAGCAAATGTTGCCACATGATTTGAAATGTCTAGCAATTTATCAATTGTAGCAAATATTCTCTGGAGGCCAGTCTGCAGGATCAAAGGAGTCAGTCCCAGAGTTCAGAAGGTGATCCAGATGTTATGACTGAGAAAGTGTACATGGTTAGGCCTGATGTGATTGGCCATTGCCTGTCCAATGACTTAGCACCAAGTGTAGTAGTTGAGGGGGTGGGTAGCAGCTGCATTAGTGTATATAATGTTTTTTCTGCCACTGGCTGCGCAATGTCACAATCAATTTAGCTAGAAGTGACTCATCCAGCCCAGTGGAGGGGGGAGAGACCTGGGAAGCTGCAATGGAGGGACACGACACAAGCTATTTGTGGCAGCAACATTTACACTGAAAAAAATATATAAACGCAACAATTTTACTGAGTTACAGTTCATATAAGGAATTGAAATTAATTATTTCACATGCCTGGGCAGGGGCACAGCCATGAGTGGGCCTGGTAGGGCATAGGCCCACCCACTGTGGTGCCAGGCTCAGCCAATCGGAATTAGTTTTTCCCCACAAAAGGCCTTTATTACAGACAGAAATACTCCTCAGTTTCATTAGCTGTCCGGGTGACTGGTCTCAGACAATCCTGCAGGTGAATAAGCTGGATGTGGAGGTCCTGGGCTGGCGTGATTACATGTGGTCGGTGGGACATACTGCCAAATTCTCTAAAATGACATTGGAGGCAGCTTATGGTAGAAAAATTAACATTCAATTATCTGGCAACCGCTCTGGTGGACATTCCTTCAGTCAGCATGCCAATTGCACGCTCCTTCAAAACATGACACATCTGTGGCATTGTGTTGTGTGACAAAACTGCACATTTTAGAGTGGCCTTTTATTGTCCCCAGCACAAGGTGCACATATGTAATGATCATGCTGTTTAATCAGCTTCTTGATATGCCACACCTGTCAGGTGGATGGATTATCTTGGCAAACAGTAAAAGGGGGTGGGGTACACATCAATACAGATGGTCTGCATCATATCAGGGTGGTCTGGTCCGATATTTGCATATCAAAGTGGGCAGGGAAATCAATCACTGCTGTACCTTTGAGAAATGAAGATTGCATAACACATTGGGCATAATGACACACTGAAGATGACATGAAGCCCTATCCATCCACAACTTCTGTCTGGCGTGATATACCGTCATGATGCTGGAGTAAAATAAATATATATATTTGGTGAATTCATGTGTGTCCTGTATGATCAATGATTTTTAAGGTAAATATGAAATTGGTGGTAACTGGTAAACATTTGTGGACCTCCAAATAAGCCTTCTCTGCTATTATTCAAGCTGATGAACATTATTTGTGATGGAAGACTATTATTAGCAGTAGTTGCCGCATGTTAGTAGTGTATGAAACAAGCAAGCTGTCAAGGAAAATGGGCGGTTCGTATCGCTGGTATATGACCTCGGTCTCCTCCATAGCTAGCCGAATGAAAAGAGACGCACGCTTCTGATCATGGTGAGATGTTTATTTACTCCTTACAAATCAGCAATGTACAAGCCGATGTATGTGGATTTGACGTTTAACAAGCCATCGTGATCATGACACGGTCTTGAATTAGTACATTACCATTGGTTCAAAGTAACCTCACGCGGTAGCTTTGCTTAGGAAGCGCAGTACGACGAGCTGAACATTCGCTTCTGTGGAAGGAGGACCACGCGGACGTAAGCTCATTAATTATATAGTTTGTTAGCATTCTAGCGAGACAAAAGGTATTTTGCTGTCATCGATATTTATTTTTATTGATTGATATACAGCTTGTTTTTTAGTTAGAAAGCTAATGTAACACATTTAGCCAGCGAGTGCTATGTAACATTTGCAGATGGTGGCGATGTCTATCATTTATCGAAACATTAATTGTTGCAAATGTTGAACCCAGCTTCTCGGTTGCTAGCATTTAACTTGAAAACCAGTCAGTATTTGGTGTCCAGGGCCGATCCTTGCGGTTCTGCAAGCCGAAAAATGCCGCCCCCCTAAAACTAGAATAGTCCCAGTAAGCAAAGAGACGTTGAAAATACGTCTAAAATACGTATTTTCCAGACGTTGAAGTTAGGTTCAATTTAGATTCTGAATGAAAGTTTAAAATATGTCATTTATAGATGTCTATGTTTGGGCCGAATCAAGGCTGGTCCAAATCTGAACCAAACATAAACGTCTATAATTGGTTCAGCTGTCCGGGTGGCTGGTCTCAGACAATCCCGCAGGTGAAGAAGCCGGATGTGGAGGTCCTGGGCTGGCGTGGTTACATGTGGTCTGCGGTTGTGAGGCCTGTTGGACATACTGCCAAATTCTCTAAAATGATGAGGTGGTTTATGGTAGAGAAATTAACATTATATTCTCTGGCAACAGCTCTGGTGGACAAACTGCACATTTTAGGCTGTGTCTAGACTTGACAGTTCATGCAGCTTTTGTATTCTGATAACGGAGTTCTGAGAATGGAATTTCGAACACGTCATGTGTCTACATTTAAATGTGTCCACCATTTCCACATTGTGTCAGTTTCCGCGCTATATTCAAATGCCAGTATGCATTCTACAAACGATAGAATAGGCAAAATATGATAACACAACAGCTGATGGCAGTAGCTAACTACTGTAGCTAAGTAGCCAGCTAACCTCTGTAGCTAGCCAGCAAGCTAGCATAGCAAGCAACGCTAAAGGGATTGCAAATGAGTTAGCATAACTCTAGGTCCAAAATATTCTTACATTCTAAATGAACTAGCTGGCTAGCATTTGAGGCCAGCAAACATGTTCCCTACATGCTAGGAACATATTTCCAACATTATAATGAAAAGGTGGCTCTCGGTCCCAAAACACAAGTTTGCTGGAGACTTGTGGGAGGAGTGCTGATGAAGTCGCCCACTGTATGTGCTTTCAGTAGCCTGACTGCTTCCAGACTGAGGAGAAATCTGCACACAATGCATCCCTGACCACCACCTGAAGTGGTCAGACAGATCTGAACACAATCAGACCACAAAGCGACTTTTGTGCGTCTAGACCCGTCTTTTCAATGCGAGCTTCATATTCTGATAGCAGAAGTCGCATGTAAGTGTTAAGTGTACACACGACCATAGTGACCTTTTATTGTCCCCAGCACAAGGTGCACCTGTGTAATGATCATGCTGTTAATCAGCTTCTTGATATGCCATACCTGTCAGGTGGATGGATTATCTTGGCAAATGAGAAATGCTTGCTAACAGGGATGTAAACATATTTGTGCACAAAATTGAAAGAAAAACTTTTTGTTCTGGGCTCTTTTATTTCAGCTCATGAAACATGGGACCAACACTTTCCATGTTGCATTTTATATTTTTGTTCAGTATATTTTGATTATTTGCAACCTTTTGCATTTCTGTAGTGTTTTATGTATCAAGCTCTTATGGTCAGGTTACAAGGTTCCATATCTCTAGACTGATTCCATGTTTGGAGATTCACCTGTCAAACTACAGCACGTGCCATCATAGACATTCAATTTGAATGGGTACCCGATCAATGGGTACCCGACCATTTCAGAGGCCACATTCTTTCTAGCCATTGACCAGAAGAAATGTGTAGATGATTATTGACTAGCGTATCTATCTCATTCTTCCAGTATCTTTATTGATTTGTCAGCTTTCTCCATGTGGTTGTGTAATGAAATTATCATGGCTCATGGCCACCTTATCACTCAACTCCTTCAGCAGATAAAAACCCTCTCCCTCAACTCCTTTGGAAAGCCAGTAACCTTCAATTTGATCCTTGGTACTCAAGACTTCAGGCTTTGTGCTGTACAAGCTCACAGCTATTATATCTCATACACTGTGATTCAGAATATTTATATTTGTATACCCCTCCTAGTCTTACCATAACCCCTCCTCACACACACGCTGTACTTTGTCAGAGCAGGATTCATGGGACTCACTTGTTCATCTTATTCAGGGAGGGTTTAATGATTACTCAGATTCTTGCCCTTTTGGGTTGTTGTGATACACAGGGCCTAGAACTGTCTGGTGCACATGATGGGTTGAACGGGTTTACTGCTGGATGCCATGACTAGGTGAGGAGCATGCATCAAGGTAAGTTTTGAGATGCTACCTTGAAGACTCTGTGGCGGTGTAAGATATTCTTACAATTTGAGACTGTTTTGTCCACACAGCTGAACAGAAGTCTCTGTTGGAGATTACGTGACCTGACCCCAAAACATTATTTGTTCTCCTGAAAATAAAAATGGTTGAACGTATGTCTAAATTGTTAATTGTATAGGCCTATCTTCTAATCTTTCCTATGGCATCTACTAGCACTAAACAGGTCTGATACTGCAGGGTCTCTGTCGGTTGCAGCTGTGTCCCTTCCCATTGTCATTATTCTGTTCTACTCCCCTTGCCCATGTTGAACGTAAAATGGATTTCTATTTTACACAAATTACACTGAAGTGGGTTACGTCAAAGCAGGGCAGGCTGCGTTTCCCAAGATCATGTCCAATGTTCCGCCCAGTTGCCAGGCAACAGTGGATTTCCATCCTGGTCTTTAGCGTGTGAAAGCGGGCAGCACTGATGTCTGCTTAGATGTCCTTCCTTCCCATGCCCTCTCTTGACGCATCCTAAAACTAGGGCTTTGGATTGGGGATAGTCGGAATAGTCATTAGTACTACTGGGTGGCAGGTAGCTTAGTGGTTAAGAGCGTTGTGCCAGTAACCGAAAGGTCGCTGGTTCTAATCCCCGAGCCAACTAGGTGAAAAATCTATCAATGTGCCCTTGAGCAAAGCACTTAACCCTAATTGCTCCTGTAAGTCGCTCTGGATAAGAGTGTCTGCTAAATGACTAAAATGTAAAAATGTAGCTAAATGGTTTTTCACCATCGTCAGATTCTTAAGACGTCACATAGAAGGCAATTAAGATGTAGGCCTAAGTTCATCACACCCTACTGGTGCAGAAAAAGGTTGCTGCATTAGGAAACAATTTTTTTGTTGTTGTAAAGGGCAGGCTAATTAAGATAGGCGTACAGTATCTCAGATAGGAATAGCTCCTCCAGGGCTTCCTCCCACTAGTGAATTTAATAGTTCCCCCCTCCGTGGCGTGTCTACACTGCATGGCTGGTGTCAAGTTTCCATCCATGAAATTTGATTTAAGTGATCCCAAAGGGTTGTAGCAGAGGGAGCCTAGCAGAGAGCCAGAGGACCCTAATAATTGACAGACAGCTAATGGGAGTTCCTTGTAGGAAAGACTATAGTATATTTATACTATATCATATTACCACAAGACTATCCCTGAAAGGTCACTTAGGTTTCTGCTCTATATGGTCTGTTCTTGCACCGCATGCGTTCAAGAACACTCCATAAATGACCGATGTAGTGCCCAGATAATAGTAGTGATTACATTTGGCCTATCTACAATACCTTTATTGCGGTACAACTGAGTTGTGATATATTGGAAGAAGGCAACAACGTTGTTGGCAACACGTTTCCAATTGCCCCTAATCATACATCAAGACTGGCATTTTTTAAAGTAGCTTTCCCTCTTTCCATAAATACCTCTGTCTCTGCTGTAGTTCTGATTAATCTGTAGCGACACTGGGCAGTGGGTACAGTGTTTTATTTGTTCCTCTGTGCTTGCCTACTGTATTCTAGTCATGGCTCATCCTATATAACTACTGCTATACACACATTTTCCCTTCACATACTGTCCATCCTATACACTGCCGGTCAAAAGTTTTAGAACACCTACACATTCAAGAGTTATTCTTTTAGTTCTACTATTTTCTTCCTTGTAGAATAATAGTGAAGACATCAAAACTATGAAATAACACACATGGAATCATGTAGTAACCAAAAAGTGTTAAACAAATCAAAATATATTTTAAATTTGAGGTTCTTCAAATAGCCACCCTTTGCCTTGATGACAGCTTTGCACACTCTTGGCATTCTCTCAACCAGCTTCATGAGGTAGTCACCTGGAATGCATTTAAATTAACAGGTTGCCTTCTTAAAAGTTAATTTGTGGAATTTCTTTCCTTCTTAATGCGTTTGAGCCAATCAGTTGTGTTGTGACAAGGTGGGGGGGATATACAGAAGATAACCCTCTTTGGTAAAAGACCATTACCATATTATGGCAAGAACAACTCAAATAAGCAAAGAGAAACGACAGTTCATCATTACTTTAAGACATGAAGGTCAGTCAATACGGGACATTTCAAGAACTTTTAAAGTTTCTTCAAGTGCAGTCGCAAAAACCATCAAGCGCTATGATGAAACTGGCTATCATGAGGACCGCCACAGGAATGGAAGACCCAGAGTTACCTCTGCTGCAGAGGATAAGTTCATTAGAGTTACCAGCCTCAGAAATTGCAGCCCAAATAAATGCTTCACAGAGTTCAAGTAACAGACACATCTCAACATCAACTGTTCAGAGGGGACTGTGTGAATCAGGCCTTCATTTTACATTTTAGTCATTTAGCAGACGCTCTTATCCAGAGCGACTTACAGTTATGGTCGAATTGCTGCAAAGAAACCACTACTAAAGGACACCAATAAGAAGAAGAGACTTGCTTGGGCCAAGAAACACGAGCAATGGACATTAGACCGGTGGAAATTAGTCCTTTTGGCCTGGAGTCCAAATTTGAGATGTTTGGTTCCAACCTCCGCCGTGTTTTTGTGAGACGCAGTGTGGGTGAACAGATGATCTCCGCATGTGTATTTCCCACCGTAAAGCATGGAGGAGGAGGTGTTATGGTGTGGGGGTGCTTTGCTGGTGACACTGTCTGTGATTTATTTAGAATTCAAGGCACACTTAACCATCATGGCTACCACAGCATTCTGCAGCGATACGCCATCTGGTTTGGGCTTAGTGGGACTATAATTTGTTTTTCAACAGGACAATGACCCAACACAACTCCAGGCTGTGTAAGGGCTATTTTACCAAGAAGGAGAGTGATGGCGTGCTGCATCAGATGACCTGGCCTCCACAATCCCCCGACCTCAACCCAATTGAGATGGTTTGGGATGAGTCGGGCCGCAGAGTGAAGGAAAAGCAGCATATGTTTCAAGACTTTTGGAAAAGCCTTCCAGGTGAAGCTGGTTGAGAGAATGCCAAGAGTGTGCAAAGCTGTCATCAAGGCAAAGGGTGGCTATTTGAAGAATCTCAAATATAAAATGTTGATTTGTTTAACACTTTGTTGGTTACTACAGGATTCCATATGTGTTATTTAATAGTTCTGATGTCTTCACTATTATTCTACAATGTAGAAAATAGTCAAAATAAAGAAACCCTTGAATGAGTAGGTGGGTCCAAACTTTTGACTGGTACTGTGTATATAAATCCTTTATATATAAATTAGTTAGTGGCTGTCTTGTATGCGAGACTGCCAGTTAACACCATGTTTATATTGGAGAAGGCGACTCATTTAAGTTGATCATGTTGTGAAATGGGAGTTGTTTTCTGGTGGTTGTTGGCAAACTTGTCCAACAAAAATATGGGATATATTTGTTGTCTTAAGGGGGAAGGTGTTGTAAGCTTTGCTAGATTTCGAGGTTGGTTCTGTTTGGGTGTGGCTTGCCCTGATTGGAGTCATCCTCATTGGTCAGGATATGTTGCACCTGTCTTTAGTTTCTCCTGTGCTGGCACAGGTGATATTTAAGCATGGCTGGTCCAGTTGGCATGAGAGATGTTGGATGTGCTTGACTGCGATTTAGCTCTGAGTGATTTACAAACAAGCCTTTTTTATCTTGTGTTCTCCTCTTTGGTTTGCTACACTTGCTTTTAGCTCCATATTATAAGTTGGTGTGTGGGTTTTTAGTTTGGTTTGCCTTTTCTGCAGCAAATGTAGTGGGAATTTATAGTCAGTGTCTTTTAGGACCCAGATTGTTGTTGCTAGTCAACTTTCAGTGGACACTCCATGATTGTCTTTGAGAACCCATCCTAAAACACCACCTGTTTCGTTCTGGTTGTCTGTGGCTTATTTGTTAGTTCCCTATTTCTGTTGAGCAACAATATTTTTGGGGAATGTAACGGTGACCAATAAACGTTGATTTGATTTGTCACAGGGCCAGTGAAGCCCCATTTAAGACCCCACTGCTGTTTCAGCAGCTGTAGGATGTTTTTAATTATAACAATATCAAACATGATTGCAAGTGTGTAGGTTGATTTTCAATAGACCCTAGACCTGTTTGCGTTGACCAATTACTGTACCTAGCCTTTTTGTTGATTCTGGACTAGTCACAGATTATTTACCACCATTTTCCTAACTGCTGGTGCCCAATGCGTGTGTTTGGTTTTGCTGTAGAGGTGATCAGTGGCGATTTTAGCATGTCAATCTTGGTGGGGCAAACAACTTTTTTTGGGGGATGCATGCCAGCAAAGCCACTACACAACAAAACACGAAAAAATACATGAATTGCACTATAACGGTGAGAAACGGTGCCCACAAACTGTTAGGGCCTAAATAAAGCTGTCCCAACACCTTACCACTGCTACACCTGGCTGTCAGCGGAGCCTTGTCTGGCAGCGAAACAGTTCATTCAACCTCCATTTACTGCCTTTAAAAAAAAACATAGCTGATATGGCTGACTTGCTTAAACAAATGTGGTTTCTACTGACAATTGAGATGTACAAACTATGGCTTAAGAGGCAATCCGTCATTTCGGTTAAGACATTAATGAGTGAGCTAGGACGGACGTAGTCAATATAACTATTTGTTCAGCACTTTTGAAATGTACAGTGACAGAATTCAGAACATGGGCCGTTCTTACAGTATTCTCCCTGTACACCAAGTCAGAACCATAGGATAAATAAGGGGGGCATATAAGCAGACAATGAAAGCTTTTACAATATTCAATGATACATTTCTCTAAAACAGGTTATAGGCTACATGTGCACCACCAAGTCAGAACAGTAGGCGAAATTAAGAGGATGAGGCACATGGGCTACTAACAGCTTACTACACAACATACACTTAGTATTACTTTCTTAGCTACAGTATACATATCTCTCTGGCATATTACATAATTTATGCAGCAGCATACAATCCATTTTTGGACTCTCCTTGTTGTGCTGTGCTCACCTGAACAGGAAGGTGGTGCGGCGGTCCTTCGTCTGCAAATTTTGTCATCAAACTTTGTCATCAAAGCCTCTGGCATTCTCTGGATTTATAGCGCTTTCAAGACAACTGGGACCCGGGAAAAAAACAAGGTCGAATCATGATGACGTCAGTGATCTTCAGGTCATAGCTCTAGAAAGAGGCCAGAGTTCCCGACTTGCAATTCCGAGTTGGATGACCGTTCAAAACATATTTTCCCAATCAGAGCTCATTTTTTTCCCCAAGGTTCCCCAGGGGGAAAAAAGTATTATAGCCCTTGGCAAGTCTCCCACTGAAGTCTCAGAGCTTTCTACAGTTAGTGCATACATTACTTAATTTATCTTTTTTTTTTTTTTACCCCGTGGGAAGCGAAACCCAAACCCTGGCGTTGCAAAGCCATGCTCTACAAATGAGTCATCCCTGCGGCCATTCCCTTACTCCCTATCTAGACGACGCTGGTTGCGCCGCATGGTTCACGGTCGCGTCCGGTACGAAGACCGGATTCGAACCAGGATCTTAGTGGCAAGTAGCACGCGATGCAGATGCTAGACCATGCGCCCTGGGAGACACAGAGGAGAGGCCTGTAATTTCATCATAGGTACATCAACTATGACAGACAAAATGAGAAAAAAAATCCAGAAAATCACATTTGTAGGATTTTAATGAATTTATTTGCAAATTATGGTGGAAAATAAGTATTTGGTCAATAAACAAAGTTTCTCAATACTTTGTTATATACCCTTGTTTGGCAATGGCACCCGGTCCACGCTTTTTCTGTAAGTCTTCACAAGGTTTTCACACACTGTTGTCCTGGTATTTTGGCCCATTCCCCCCATGCAGATTCGCCTCTAGAGCAATGATGTTTTGGGGCTGTCGCTGGGCAACACGGTACGTTTCAAATCCCTTCCACAGATTTTCTAATGGGGTTTTTGAGATCTGGAGACTGGCTAGGCCACTCCAGGACCTTGAAATGCTTCTTACGAAGCCACTCCTTCGTTGCCCGGGCGGTGTGTTTGGGATCATTGTCATGCTGAAAGACCCAGCCACGTTTCATCTTCAATGCCCTTGCTGATGGAAGGAGGTTTTCACTCAATCTCACGATACATGGCCCCATTCATTCTTTCCTTTACACGGATCAGTCGTCCTGGTCCCTTTGCAGAAAAACAGCCCCAAAGCATGATGTTTCCACCCCCATGCTTCACAGTAGGTATGGTGTTCTTTGGATGCAACTCAGCATTCTTTGTCCTCCAAACACGACGAGTTGAGTTTTTACCAAAAAGTTCTATTTTGGTTTCATCTGACCATATGACATTCTCCCAATCCTCTTCTGGATCATCCAAATGCACTCCTAGCAAACTTCAGACGGGCCTGGACATGTACTGGCTTAAGCAGGGGGACACGTCTGGCACTGCAGGATTTGAGTCCCTGGCGGCGTAGTGTGTTACTGATGGTAGGCTTTGTTACTTTGGTCCCAGCTCTCTGCAGGTCATTCACTAGGTCCCCCCGTGTGGTTCTGGGATTTTTGCTCACCGTTCTTGTGATCATTTTGACCCCATGGGGTGAGATCTTGCGTGGAGCCCCAGATCGAGGGAGATTATCAGTGGTCTTGTATGTCTTCCATTTCCTAATAATTACCACAGTTGTTTTTCTTCAAACCAAGCTGCTTACCTATTGCAGATTCAGTCTTCCCAGCCTGGTGCAGGTCTACAATTTTGTTTCTGGTGTCCTTTGACAGCACTTTAGTCTTGGCCATAGTGGAGTTTGGAGTGTGACTGTTTGAGGTTGTGGACAGGTGTCTTTTATACTGATAACAAGTTCAAACAGGTGCCATTAATACAGGTAACGAGTGGAGGACAGAGGAGCCTCTTAAAGAAGAAGTTACAGGTCTGTGAGAGCCAGAAATCTTGCTTGTTTGTAGGTGACCAAATACTTATTTTCCACCATAATTTGCAAATAAATTCATAAAAAATCCTACAATGTGATTTTCTGGAAAAAAAATGCTCAATTTGTCTGTCATAGTTGACGTGTACCTATGATGTAAATTACAGGCCTCTCATCTTTTTAAGTGGGAGAACTTGCACAATTGGTGGCTGACTAAATACTTTTTCCCCCCACTGTAACAGTTGTTTTGAGTGTGGCAGAAATCATACTGGATTGACAGCATGGCCAATGTTGAATGTTTATCATTTAAACCTCTTAAGGATCGGACCCTTCTTTTGAATTTTTACCTAAAATGACATACCCAAATCTAACTGCCTGTAGCTCAGGCCCCGAATCAAGGATATGCATATTCTTGATACCATTTGAAAGGAAACACTTTGAAGTTTGTGGAAATGTGAAATTAATGTAGGAGAATATAACACATTTAGATCTGGTAAAAGATAAAACAAACAAAAAAACATGTGTTTTCTAGTATTCTTTTTGTTCCATCTTTGAAATGCAAGAGAAAGGCCACAATATAATATTGCAGTTTAGGCGCAATTTAGCAGTGTGTGTGCAAAGTTTCAGATTGATCCAGTGAAGCATTGCAATACTGGACTATTTTGTATGAAGTCTGCCCAAATGTGCCGAATTGGTCAATTGATACATTTTCAAGTACATAACTATAGAGAACATTTAAAAAATGATATGGTGATACAAAATGTAATTTTACACACTCCCAGGAATGTCATACATGATGGATCATTAGCTTATACACTAATTTTCACACATCTAGATGGCGGGGTGGGTGTGGAGCCAAAGACAGCGGGTTCAAACTGTAGAACCCAGTTCCTACATTTTGAATATAAACATGGATTTTATCAAATAAAACTATGCTACATTTTATCTCTGGGACCCTTAGGATGACAAATCAGTGCAAGATTACTGAATGTAAGTACATTATTTACCTTCAGAGGTGAATGTATCAAACCAGTTGCCGTTTTTTGTTGTTGTGCACTCTCCTCAAACAATAGCATGGTATTTTTTCACTGTAATAGCTACTGTAAATTGTACAGTGCAGTTCGATTAACAAGAATTTAAGCTATCTGCCCAAAAAAGACATGTCTGTCCTGGAAAGTTTGCTTTTACTTACAACAGTCATGCTAATCACATTAGCGCACGTTAGCTCAACCGTCCGGTATACGGGACATCGATCCTGTAGAGGTTAAGCTTGGAAAAGAGACCCTTAAATCCAGAATTGGGACCACACACCCACTTCACTGAATAGCAGGCTAGTGATTGCTTTGCAAGCCACTGATTCCTTCCAAATCACTCATTGTTGAATTTGCGATTTCCGACTTGTTGTGTAATGTTTGTCCAATGGCTGATGAGCACCGATACGTTTTATCTATAATTTCGCTTCATTATTTCTCTTCATATGACTTCAGATTAAAAAGGATTTGTCATGATGACGACTGCTAGCTAAGATTTTGAAAGTATGATGTTGACATGGTCAGTCCAATCAAAGCTACTGTTGATATAATTGTATGTATGGCCAATGACCTTGAGCCTTCTTGGATGGGCACTTCTAATGTAACTCTAGGGCAGCACCCAAGGGGCTTGAATTTTCGAGCTCTACCTTTTCGATTTGGCAGTGACATAGTGTCCCCATGAGTGACAGAACACTGAGCCAATCACAGCGCAACTAGAGAACATTACCAACCCCTACGCTCTGTATTATCCGCTGGCTGCCCCACCACCACAGAAAGCACTGAGCTAGGCTGAAACACCTGCATTTTGGAGCTGACTTACTCAAGAAAGTAAAAAAGAGCATGTTTGTATGGAGGCTTTATCAACTCAATTTTTAACGTTGTTTGCAAACTGATATGTTACCTGTACTAATGCCAAAATAACATGAAAAACAGGCACATATTTTTGGGATAAAAATGTGGGGCTCAAAGCAGGTGGGGCTCTGCCCTGAATGACGGGTCGCCACTGGAGGTGATGCTGTGGCATGGGCTGCTCTCACTAGTAGTCTGTACCTCAGGTGACGACTCATAAGAGGTGATGATGGGTCAGACACCCTTGGGTTTAATCACACAGGCTCAGGAGAATCATACAGCCTGTCATGGCAGGCTTCCACCGTTTGATCATCACAGGCCCTGTGACTGGCAGAGATCATTCAACAGGACCACTAAGCCTCTGATGTGCTCTGGACGGGCAATGTTTCAACAAACCACTGTTTTGAGAGATTGCAGTCCTGGTAGACCTGGCTTCTTACTCAAATCATTATCTTTATGGACTCGGATGACTCAGCTTTTTCCCCTGTTGTAGCCTACTTGTTGAAATGGACAGGTATGGTAGATGTTCACAAGTGAAGTATTTCACTGCAGTGCAGTGGGCTCTTTAAGCCCTAAGCATTTAGCTTGTCAGAAATTGTCAAGCTATGGTAGACATTTTGCACTCTTTAACCTTACAGAAAGGGAAAATGCTAATGTTTAAGTGCACACCTGAAGGACTCTGTATCAGGAAGAAACACCAGGCTGTTTAAATGGGATTAAGACACAACATTAATAACCCTGTGTTTATCCTTTAGCAGATAGAAAACCTCCCCCTCAACACTTTTGGAAATGCTAGTAACCTTTCCCGTTCAGAATGATACAGTATCTCTGTATAGCAAGCCTGGTTTTTCTTAATGTCCCTACACCCAACTACACTGAACAAAAATATAAACCTAACATTTAAAGTGTTGGTCCCACATTTTTTTACATCCCTGTTAGTGAGCATTTTTCCTTTGCCAAGGTAATCATCCACCTGACAGGTGTGGCATATCAAGAAGCTGATTAAACAGCATGATCATTACACAGGTGCACCTTGTGCTGGGGACAATTAAAGGCCACTCTAAAATGTGCAGTTTTGTCACACAACGCCACAGATGTCTCACGTTTTGAGGGAGCGTGCAATTGACATGCTGACTGCAGGAATGTACACCAGAGCTGTTGCCAGAGAATGTAATGTTCATTTCTCTACCATAAGCCGCCTCAAACGTCGTTTTAGAGAATTTGGCAGTACGTCCAATTGCATCGTGTGGGCGAGCGGTTTGCTGACGTCAACGTTGTGAACAGAGTGCCCCATGGTGGCAGTGGGGTTATGGTATGGGCAGGCATAAGCTACGGACAACGAACACAATTGCATTTTATCGATGGCAATTTGAATGCACAGAGATACCGTGACGAGATCCTGAGGCCCATTGTCGTGCCATTCATCCGCCACCATCACCTCATGTTTCAGCATGATAATGCACGGCCCCATATCGCAAGGATCTGTACACAATTCCTGGAAGCTGAAAATGTCCCAGTTCTTTCATGGCCTGCATACTCACCAGACATGTCATCCATTTAGCATGTTTTGGAATGCTCTGGATCGACGTGTACGACAGTGTGTTCCAGTTCCTGCCAATGTATCCAGCAACTTCGTACAGCCATTGAAGAGGTGTGGGACAACATTCCACAGGCCACAATCAACAGCCTGATCAAATTTCTCTTCCTCATGAGGGAGGATAATGAACGTTCACAGAGAAAGTAGACCTACCAATTAGTTTGTTTTTACTGATATCTATTTGGTTTATGAATTAAGGGATTAACTCGAATTACTGCAATTACTGAAATGTAATTTGCTACAATGGGAATTCATAGTAGTTACAAACCACAGTTGGGGTCACCTGCTACAGTTCTCCCACTGGCATACTGCATAATGTTAATCTCAACTGTTTTCTTTCTCATTCTGTCATCTGGTGGTCAAAGCAAGTGTGAAAACAGCATAGACAACCCCTCCCTCTCTCTCTCTGCCTCCTCTCTCTTACTGACACCTACCCATGAGCCCCCTCTTTCCATTTACTGTGACCATAGAGATGTATAGAGATCGCAACGTTGTATCTGTCCCATTATGATATCTGTAAGTGCACAGTCAGCGCCGTTGAGGCCATCTCCATTTTGAAGTAGTCCATTTTATTTTTCTACTACTTCTGAGTTGGTACACAAACTGAAAGGGTGAATACTGCCACCTGGAGTGTTTGAACAGGTATTATTAAGCCAAGATTGGAGATTTACTGCTTGCCACCTGCAGTTATGGAATGGCTGATCTCTCCTGATGACCTGGATGGAATTATGTGACCCGTCCTTAACCCATAGGAAGTCCCACCCAGTTGACTACTTAAAAATGGTGAAAGACCTTAATGGCGCTGCCGATGCTAAAACAGGCTTTTGGGCACTAGAGGCCTCTATACATCTCTGACTGTGACCAGCATCCTTACCCACTGAGCACCTACCGACACACACCAGACATCCATGGACGTTGACATTTGGTCAGTCCGCCCTGGCTGTGATTTCAACATCCACAGACGTCGTTTTTTGGTACAGTACAGACTTGCTTTAATTTCAACGTCCACAGACAGATTTTTGGTCCGGTCCTGACCGGCCTTGATTTGGCCCAAACATAGACGTGGATGATTGGTTCAGATTTGATCCAGTACAGTAGAGTACAGTAAAATAAAAGTTCAGTATAGTCCTGTACTGTAAAATAGAGTAGAAGAGTTTAGTACGGTATAGCATACTAGAGTACAGTATTATGTACTGAACTGTACTGCGCTATACTTTGATGTCCAAACTCGCGAAACATAGGTGTCTATGATTGGTTCAGATTTGGACCGGTCTGGACCAACCAAACTTGGTCTTGTTTGGGGGCGGAGCTTATTAAAATAATAGCCAGTGTGAATAATGCCCAAATGTGACCAAATATGCAAAGGAGGATATTGCATAATTGTACCTTTTTGTGTACCTATTCAGGCTCTAACGCTATGAAGAGAATGATATTCATATCCATAATTATGCATTTCTGTATAGTACAGATCCAGGACCGATGATGTAATCCCTTGTCACCCGGTCTAAATTCTCTTCACCTACTGTAGTTCAATAACCCAAATAGATGTTTTCAAAGTCAAGGTGTCATGTCATAGCTGACACCCCATTCTTTCTACATCTTTGAATTTTAATTTGGAGTAGATATTTAAGAGTTTTTGGAAAACGGAGGTCACATAAAAAAACGGAGGGAGATTTTACAGTAATTCTGTTCCCAAACTTTGCATCTGCACAGTTCTTCCAGTAAATGTTCAGTGTAAATTGTTAAAAGTAGTCCTTGTGCATAGTTGTATGGTTTGTTAAATGGAATTGTGTAATCTAATCTATTGTATGGTTTATATAGATTAACTGGTATGTTTATTCGATTTTTATATTGGTTATAGTTGAAACCAAAGCTGAAGAATGCAGCAGTCAATGGTCTACCAAATGATCCCATTATATTTGGATTTATGCTTCCAGTTTACTCCTCACCTGTCATTGTATCATTGACAGTGAAGTTGTTGCAAGACACTTGGCTACTCATACACACGTGTCATATACCCAAGCCATAAACATGTAGTAGGCCTGTGTGTAACTAACCCTGAACCTTGGAACGGCATACACTGATCATAGTGTTGGAAACATGAGAGGATTATTTGTCAGTCATACTGTATCGTCCTACTTTGAAGTGTAACCTGGAGTGAATGAGTTGAAGTCGGGTAGTTACTTGTTAACACAGCCAGAGCTTTAAACTTCTGCACCCCCTGGAATTAAGTTATTTGTTTATATAATTGCACAACGTAAGGTCTAAAGTTGTGCATGCCATTGCACCTTCATGACCCCTCACGTGCACTAGCTCACTCTCTCATAGCCTCACACACATTTGCGTAAACTCATGACCGCTGGCTCTGAGGACTAATCAAAATAGAGCACAGCGTCTCACAAAGCTGCTCTGCAGGAAGCTGCCAGTTACCCAGGCATGACAGGACCGTTCAGATCAGCTGAAGTTGGTGTGTTGTCAAAGGGCACATTGTGAAAGAGAGATGGATAGTATTGCATGTCTTAAATGGTAGAGGAGTGAAATAAAGTGATGAAGAGTGCAGTGGGGAGTCCAGATGTGTTTTGACAGTTGATAGTACAAATATTGCCAGTAATTAGAGACTGTAAATGATAGTTTTCTTAGTGGTAGTACAAATTATGAAGTGTAAGATGTTTGGTTTTAGGATGTGCACTTATACTTTTAAAACAAGAACCTAGTTGTATTAGATTTTTGAAATTATTTATTTGTAATGTGTTATTTAAAAAACGTTTTGTATTTTTGCAGGTCTTCACTTTGCCTTCCACGGTGGTTTAAGATGGGTGCATATGAGGAAGACACTCCCACTGCTTGACTATTTAAGTCCCAGGTTCCTCAGACCACCATTCACCAGCTAGCCCAACCACTGACACGGTAAGACCTGCTTGACACTTATCAATTCTCTCTCTCTGTGTCTCTGTCTGTCTGTCTGTCTCTCTCCCTCATTCTCTCTTCAAGGCCTCTTATTTCTTATGCAATTAGTATTCTCCCAGCCCTGCTCAATGCAAGGGTCACCGGTGTCACAATAGGATGGTGTCCTTGCATCAGTGAGGTGACGCAAACTGCATACTGTAGGCGTGCCCCACTTTAGTGCCTGTCTGCTCGCTGAGGGTGTGAGACAGGCTGTGAAGACCTCAGACACGCCTGGTAAATTCACTGCCAGCTGTGTTGTGAGGTGAATTTATCATCATGTGTCTGGGGCTTCTGATTAACCACTAACTATCTGTCTGTTGTGATGTTTAGACGTGAGGCTAGGTCAGTCTGCCCTGGCTCACACTCACTGTGGTATGTGTCAATAGACCACCATCCAGCAGTGTGTGGGAGCCTTGAGAACTAATGCCCATTTGATTAGCACTTTTATCAGGACCGACAGACTAAAGCTTTGTTGACATGCCTACTGTAGAGTGGAGTTACGTTGTGGTTTCAATGTTTAATTAACTTTTAGCATAACACTTACTGAGACCTCTCAATGCTCTGAAATGGTAGAATAACCAAGTAGAAAATTATTAGGTGTGAATTATATTTTAAGTAATTTGGTTATAGTGGTGAAAGATGTTTCCGTCAAAGCACCTATTGTGTTCCTTGCATGTATCTAGCTCCTCTTGCTTGAAGAGAAACTAAGATGGCCAGTGATGATGATGATGATAACTACTCTCTTCCTCTCCCCTCTTTCCCTCACTATAGCATTTTATCCATCCACCTCAGAGTCCTAAGAGAACACCGTCCTGATCCACCCGGGCTGCGCCACCTACGGCTACCCCCCTCCCAACCCCACCTCCATTCCCAGCCCCTCACCCAGCAGCATCATGGGGGACGTAGTCCAGATGCACTTCACCACGCCGGACTATGTGATCTTCGCCATGCTTCTGGTGGCGTCCACGTGCATCGGCCTGTTCTACGCCCTGTCCGGCGGGCGCCAGCGCACCACGCAGGAGTTCCTATTGGCCGACCGTTCTATGAGCTGCCTGCCCGTGTCGCTGTCACTGCTCGCCACCTTCCAGTCGGCCGTGGCCATCCTGGGAGCGCCCTCGGAGATCTACACCTATGGAACGCAGTACTGGTTCCTGGGAGTCTCCTACTTTCTGGGTCTGCTTATCCCCGCCCACGTCTTCATACCTGTCTTCTACAGGCTCCGCCTCACCAGCGCTTATGAGGTGAGCTCTAAGCCCTTACCTTACCTAGAGAGAGAACAGTGTCTGTGAATGATGAGGATTATGAGGAGAAGTTTGTGCACCCGTGTATCTCTGTGCATCTGTCTTGCTAGAACCCTGGTAAGGAAGGCTAGTTGAATGCAAAAACAACGTTCTCAGCATGTTGTCTGTTGAGATCCCGCCATGCTTTTTCATATTGAAACAATAGCTAAGGGTGAACCAGAGTACGTCTCTCCATTGCGCATCATTGTTTAGCAGATGAGTGTCGCTAACAACAACAGAATGTGCCCCAAATCTTCACTTGTATTGTCCTCAGAATAGACACATTCACAGATTACTCATGCTTTATGACCTGTGATAGGCTTTAACATCTCTTTCCTTCTTCCCCTCGCTCTCTCTCTCTCTCTCCCCCACCTTTTCTGTATTTTCTTACTCTGTAGTATTTGGAGCTGCGCTTCAATAAGACGGTGCGCATTATGGGGACCGTGACCTTTATCTTTCAGATGGTGTGTGTCCTTTACACTGCTGTAGTTATGTCTGTGTGTATGCTTATGTGTATTTTAATCAACCCCCTATGTTACCTCTGTTTGCTTCCCTCGAATTTTGACCATTGTTTGTCTCCGCAGGTGATCTATATGGGAGTGGTCCTCTATGCCCCAGCACTCGCACTCAATGCAGGTAAAGGGATCTGCCACATGTATTTACTACGTCATACTTTATAAAGTGGTAGAATAATAGTTGTACTGATTACATTCGGTGAGGGCTTTAGTACCTGTTCGGGCTTTATAGACGATCAATGACCGATGTGCTGTCAATGTGATCTCTGTTGGTGATGTGTGCGGTGTAGCTCAGTTGGTAGAGCATGGCGCTTGCAACGCCAGGGTTGTGGGTTTGATTCCCACGGGGGGCCAGTATGGAAAAAAAGTATGAAAAATGTATGCACTCACTAACTGTAAGTCGCTCTGGATAAGAGCGTCTGCTAAATGACTAAAATGTAAATGTAAAATGTGTGCTGTTAATACTGTCCACCTGCAGTGACTGGATTTGACCTCTGGGGGGCAGTGCTGGCCATGGGACTGGTGTGCACCTTGTACACAACACTGGTGAGTGTGTCTCTCTCTTCATCAGTGAGTTTTCAATTCAGTCATCCATCTCCCTACAACTCTGAAGTCAATTATGATACATACTGTGAACCCAGCCATATATATCTCTTGTGTCGGTCAGGGAGGGCTAAAGGCAGTCATCTGGACAGATGTGTTCCAGACCATTGTGATGTTTGCTGGCCAGCTGGCGGTCATCATAGTGGGGGCCCACCAGGCAGGGGGCATGGGAGAGGTGTGGCGGAAGGCCATGAACGGCAGCCGCATTGCTAGCCTGGAGTGAGTGTTCTCCAGTTCACCTAAAGATACTTAAAACTGTCCCTGGACCAGTTATGGAGGATATTGATACTGGTCTATGGCTCTGTGTGTAGGTATAGTGTTGTAACCCTCCTCTCCTTTGACCTGTGCTCTGTGCAGTCTGAACCCTGACCCGACGGAGAGGCACACGTTCTGGACGCTGGGGGTGGGCGGGGTGTTCCTCATGCTGGCGCTGTACGGGGTCAACCAGGCCCAGGTTCAGAGGTACCTCAGCTCCCGCACTGAGAGGGAGGCCGTCATGTAAGCATTAACATTAACACCTGGTTGAATTGGATTCAAATGAGAGATCATGTAAAAAATTTACAATTGCTCAGGCACATAATGGTAATGTTAATATATGTTGTGGTGTGTGTCTCCAGGTCGTGCTACGTGGTGTTTCCCTGCCAGCAGGTGGTGTTGTGTCTGGGTTGTCTGATGGGCCTGGTGATGTTTGCTCGCTACGGTGAGGACAGCCCGCTTGATAAGGGCTACGTCAAAACCAACGACCAGGCAAGTAGGACTACTACCTCCACAACAACCTTAGGACTAGCTACCTCCACAACAACCTTAGGACTAGCTACCTCCACAACAACCTTAGGACTAGCTACCTCCACAACAACCTTAGGACTAGCTACCTCCACAACAACCTTAGGACTAGCTACCTCCACAACAACCTTAGGACTAGCTACCTCCACAACAACCTTAGGACTAGCTACCTCCACAACAACCTTAGGACTAGCTACCGCTACAACAACATTAGGACTAGCTACCTCCACAACAACACACTTAGTGGGCCCTCATACACTACCGGTCAAATGTTTTAGAACACCTACTCATTCAAGGGTTTTTCTTTATTTTTTTACTATTTTCTACATTGTAGAATAATAATGAAGACATCAAAACTATGAAATAACACATATGGAATCATGTAGTAACCCAAAAAAGTGTTAAACAAAATGTAGTAACCATAAAAGTGTTAAACAAATCAAAATATATTTTATATTTGAGATTCTTCAAATAGCCACGCTTTGCCTTGATGACAGCTTTGCACACTCTTGGCATGCTCTCAACCAGCTTCATGAGGTAGTCACCTGGAATGCATTTCAATTAACAGGTGTGCCTTAAAAGTTCATTTGTGGAATTTCTTTCCTCAATGCGTTCGAGCCAATCAGTTGTGTTGTGACAAGGTAGGGGGGTATACATAAGATAGCCCTATTTGGTGTATATTTCAGCATTTCCTGCACTTATTTGAGATCATTTCCACACTGCCACGTAGGGCTACACGATATGGGCAAACAATCTATGCCTTATTTTTTTACCAAATGTTGCAATTGCGATTTGACTTGAGATTTAGAGCAAAACACTTGGGTAAACTATTGGAATCATGGAAATAGAACGATTATTCTAATTATATAGTTAGACTATAATAGTGGGCACTTTGAATACAGTGTTTGACAACGAATGAAAATGCCAGGGAGGAGTTATTGTGACAGGGTAGGAACCAAAGTTTTGATTAAGTGTTTCCTAAGGGACCCTATCATCTTTGGCTACATTGAATGTTTTCTCTTAGATACTTAATGTACCTAACACATTCTTGCTTCGCGTATTCCTCTTTGATTTAGAAGATACTGTTGCACGAACAACATGTTGATTTAGGTCTACACCATCACTGGTATTATCAGTCTGTATAGCTAGTTACGTTTGCTTTGACTCCGTACATTTATTAGCTAGTTAGCGATTAGCATTAGCGGCTAACAAGATTTAGGCCCAACTTGATATAAAACGACAAACTAGCTGTTTGCAGATGCAAGAAACACAAACTGATAGTGTAATTATAGAAAGCTAGTGGATTTATATTAAGAAGCAAAGTGAAAACAGCATCGTTGTCATGAACCTTGTTGCATGTGCTGCATTGACCATACAGACTGAATGCAAGTGTCTCGTTGAGGAACAAGTTAACAAATGTGCTCCTTAAGTGACAGGGGGCGGGGCTAGGTCTGTGGAAAGCGGCATGGAGAGAGCGGCGAGACATGACTCAGGTAGCGAAGTAAACTACAAATGGACGTTACACATGGCGTAACACATTTAACAAACCAAACATTCAAATACCGTTATAGAAGGTAAAGTGAAAACCCAAACCGGTCCGTGCATCAATACCGGTATATCGTAAAAGACGGTATACCGCTCAGCCCTACCTCACTGCACTAGCATCCTGATGTGACTGGCTATGTGAATGTCTCTCTTCAGATCATAGCCAATCAAAGGCTTGATGTTTGAGTTGAGGCCATTGTTTGGTTTAGTTCTTCCATAACTGTAATTTGTGAGGCTTCATTTTGGTACTTTTGATCCAGTCTAAGTGGCAGTTTCTTCCTGTTTGCAGATGGTGCTGTACTTTGTGATGGATGTGTTCAAGGACCTGCCAGGCCTCCCAGGGCTGTTTGTAGCCTGCCTGTTCAGCGGAGCTCTCAGGTACTTTACTTAACTACCACTGCTACTGGCTCTCATATGTTCGGTCTGTAGTAGTAGTCAGACATGTTTCTATGCTACATTAATGTCATAGTGTTGTAGTACACCACTTATGATACTGTTATGAATACACTACACCACGCAATTTAGCCCCAGGACATTACTCACTCAGCTTCCCTCTCTCTTGCATTGCAGTACCATCTCATCAGCGTTTAACTCCCTAGCGACGGTAACCATGGAGGACCTGATCAAGCCTTACTGCCCGGCCATGACGGAGGCCAAAGCCACGCTGCTCTCAAAGGGCCTGGGTGAGCTGCTGTTCCCTGAGTGGCCACACAGTGGCAGTGTGTATGAACAGTGGCAGCAGTCTTCATGAGTGATGGTTGTGATGACAGTAATGATGATTTTATTGAGCTTTTCGTTAAGTAACGTTGCTGGAGTATAGAGCCCACAAACCAGTTTTGACTTCACCATCCAAATACTGCTGAGTGTTTTTTAAAACTTGTGGAGTACACTTAATCAGGACTGTACTGCTATGGTCCTGACCAGTGTTTCTCTTCCTCTCTGTTTTCCCAGCATTGGCCTACGGTCTGGTGTGTCTTGCCATGGCCTACATCGCCTCTCGCATGGGCTCAGTGCTGCAGGTGAGGGACTGACACATTTCCCCTGCTGTCTTTTGCTTTAATTAATGGGTACTCCTCTACCCCACTGAATTACATTTAGCAACGCTGCACTCATTCAGTGGCTTCATAGGAGTTATGAAAGGATTATAAACCTATTATTCATTCATTCACTCTCTCACTCCCTCTCTCTCCTCCAGGCAGCATTCAGTATCTTTGGGATGGTGGGTGGTCCTCTCCTCGGCCTCTTCTGTCTTGGCATGTTCTTCCCCTGGGCTAACTCCACTGTAAGTCAAAATGCTGCCGTGTTAAGACAGGGGTCAAGTTGGCTAGCATTGAGGGATATTAAATTAGAGGACATCTGTTTTTTTTTTTTTTACTGCACAATAAAATATATGGGAAGATGCTGAACGTTTTCATCATATCTGTAGTGAATTGGAGAGATCGGTCTGATTTTGATCTAACTGTTCCTGTCTCTCTCTGTCCACAGGGTGCAATAGTAGGGTTGGTGGCAGGCCTGGCTATGGCGTTCTGGATTGGCATTGGTAATTTCGTGTCTCGTATGGCCGTGCCCACACCTCTGCTCCCCATCATCAACGCCACCACTATGCCCCTCCTCGGCAACATGACTACTGCTGTCATGACAACCCTGACTACCTCAATCACCGCTAAACCAAAGTACATTCTTTTTTTTCTTCTCCTCGTTAAAATGATGGCATTTGAACCAGTACAGCACTATCAAACATAAAGCGCTTGATTTGTATCCCATTCTATCCCACCAAATATTGTAACCATTTTAAGGATGACTGCATAAGAATGATTATATGAATCTGACCAAGTATCTGTGTTTTCCTCTCTCCAGGCCTACGGGTGTGCAGGCCCTGTACAATCTGTCCTATTTGTGGTACAGTGCTCATAACTCTACCACTGTGGTGATAGTGGGACTGATAGTCAGCCTGTTGACTGGCCCTATGAAGGAGAAAGACCTGACCCCAGGGACGGTGTACCCTGTCCTGGGGAACCTGCTCTTCTTCCTACCTGAACGCTACAGGGAGAAGCTCTGCTGTGCCACTCCACTGCCACACAAGGTAGCCCTCGGATCTATCTAGTGAATTCTTCTAATAGTTTTTGTTAGCCACACTCTGTTTTCAAAATAATTGTAACGGTATTTACTTTACTTTAATTACCATATGTTTTTTTTTGTATGTGTGTGGGAATGTTGTGCAGCCCAAAGCTATCGACACGCAGCCGTACCAGATGGCTCAGGAAAGCAACGGCGTGGCCCAATACAAAGAGGAGAAGGACGAGGAGAAGGAGGAGGAGAAGAAGGAGGAGGAGAAGAAGAAGGAGAAGGAGGAGGAGAAGAAGAAGGAGGAAGAGGAGGAGGAGGAAGAAGAGAAGGAGGAAAACGAGGAGAGGGCCACCCCTCAGCCTTCCTGCCGACTGGCTCACACAGTGCAGGAGACTGCCTTGTAACAGACCCCCCCCCCCCCCCCCCCCCCCCCCCGACACAGCCCCCAGCCAAGCCCCACCACATCCAGAACCCCCCACCCCTCCTCACTGCTCAGCTCTCTCAACCCTAGGGGAGAGGACCCACGTGAGGCCAGAGAGGCAGCGGAGACCCAGTGTGCCTGGACATGACTTCCATCAAGTACCACAGGGTCAATGCAAAGGAACAGGGAGATTCACCCCTGACCCTTACTTCCTGGAAAAACTGATACACCACAAATATCTGGTGGTTTTTAAGAGTGCCAGAGTCCTCTGCTATAATGAAGAATAGTGCACTTGTGGATGGGGGTCCAGGTGTATCTTGAATTCATTGGTACCTCATTAACGATGGCACTGGTCAGTTTCCCTAAACTGAAGTAACTGGAAATCACTACTTATGAAACTGGAGTTTTGAGAAGAGCAAAAATGTCTGAATTGAGATGATTCCTCGATGGAGAAATACTAACGCAACACAAGTTGCAATCATGCTCAGAGCTGAGGAGAAGTCTCATTGTTGTCCAGTTAGTAGATCTAAGAGCCTGGACTGAACCAAAGGGCTGTGATTGGCATTCTGTGATTTTGTTCAATTATGAATGAAAGATTGTGGACATACGCACTAAGTTGTTCCAATGACTGTGAAAATGGACCCAAGTCTTTCTATTTATCAGAGAATCAGGTAGAGAGCAGGTAGCCTAGTGATTTAAGAGCGTTGGGCCAGTAACCGAAAGGTCCCTGGTTTGAATCCCCGAGCAGACTAGGTGAAATATGTCTGTGCCATTGAGCAAGGCACTTAACCCTAATTGCTTCTTTAAGTCGCTCTGGATAAGAGCATCTGCTAAATGACTAAAATGAAAAATGAGCAGGCAGAGAAGAGGTACTTTAGATTTAACTGTCGTTGCATATTATTTTTATAGAGAAGATTAAGCCAGTATGTCAGATTAACTATTATAATTTTTTTAACGGAGTGGCTGCGGTCCGAGTTCTCTGGAACCCTCTTCCCAACAGCTAAAGGTTCCAAGCTGTGCATGTGCGTGATTCTCTACTTTACACACAGTCTGCATTACTCGTTGGGCTGACCCCAGTGCCCAGAGAGCAGGCTACTCTGGCGAAATGGTGCTTGTTTAATAAAGTTACATCAAAGCTGAATCAATGTCTGCAAGACAACATAATGATAGTATTCTACATAACAGAACAGAATATAATTGCATAGTATAACGTTAGGCAAAAAACATCACCTCATTTTAGGCAGATTGTGCGAAGTGTCACATTTTTCTCTCATGAGGCCAAAGCTCAACAACATGCGCCACTAGGCAAAATATGTGTTTTGATTGAAAGAAAACACAGGTATGCTACAGCTTGTTAACTATAAAAACAAGAGTTGCACACTATGTATAAACTCCTAGTAATTTATTAGGTAAACCAATAATAAATGTTAATACCGTCTGCTAAAAAATTAGCTCACCACAAAATTCAAAACAACACTGTAGACTACATAACTCAAGAAGATCTAAATGCATAACCCTATAAAACTGATTGAGATCATCATGTGATCTTGCAGACATTGATTCAGTTTTGATCCAACTTAAGCCAGCACCATTCGCCAGTGCAGCCTGTTCTCTGGGCAGCTGAACGAGTAGAGCATAGACTGCGTAAAGTACAGAATCCCGCACATGCGCAGAATCTTCTAACCTTTAGCTATCGGGAAGAGGGTTCCAAAGAACTCAGATCCGCAGCCTCGGCCTTTACAAAAGAAAATCCTTTATGTCCCAGTAGACATGACGGAAAGCACAGTCTGTGTTTTAGTCGGAAGCTTTGGTTCCCAAAGCTCCTTATGTTTGTTTTCTTTACATGGCCTTTGTTTAACATTTGCCTTGCTATAGTAAATTAATAAAGAGGTAGTTAAGAGTGTTTGAATAAGGTTAACGTGCCATACGTGGCACATGGGTATATATTGAAGCTGGAGCTCAAGACATCACCTCATTTGTCATTAACTGGGATCACGTTTTCAGAGAGCGCAAGGTCATGGAGTCTACACTACTACTTAATAGAGAACCAGATAAACTGCTGGTTAGCTAGTGACATTAATGCATGTAGAATACCTTGTCCTCGCAGTCCAGTCACACTGTAGATCCCATAGTTTAATAAAGTGCCTCATTAGTAGGCAGTGTATGAATGTAGTTTCATTTTGATTACTGATCAGTGTGTAATTAGGATTGTGATACAGTAGACTTATACTGTATAGCACAAGTACAAGTATAATGATTCTCCATGTGTGTCTTGGATGTTTGTTAGCTTTACATGTATGACCTGTTGCTCGTCCACCCCACTGCTCTAACAGAGGATATTTACAGTGAAGGGAACAACTGCAGCCATTTTGATGGTTCAACAGAGTACAGTACTCAGAAATCTTAGAGTAGACTAATAGATTATGTTCTTTGGTTGTATCTTTGATGGACTTGGTTTCCTTTTGACACTTCGCTGTTTCTTGATGTTCAATGTACCAGGGGGAAAAATTCCAATCACTTTAAAACAAAAAAAAGTACAATGTTTTGTAGCTTGTTTTTGTAAGTGCCCATTTTATCTAATGATGTAAATGTTTTGCCATAACAGTATCGGCGGTTGATTTAACGTTGTTATTATTATGAAGAACATTGCATTTTTTGTATTGGTCATTTGATGAATATGAAACCTGCAGTGCAGATGTTGAATTTTAATTGTCATTTGTTAAATGTTTCATTTTCATGTTTCAATGTCATTTTTGCAATCTGAAGAATTTATGTCATTCTCTGTTCAAAATCTTCATTTTGTGTTCCTCCCATGCACTGGAATACCGAAACACACTACAGAATTCAAGTCAGGGTAATGTGGTAGTACTCTGTTGAGATTATCTGGTTTATGTGTTGAGTTTGTGATTCCATATGACCTGTTTGTTCCTCAAACAGGGAGTCTACTTGTGTGTGTTGTCTCTGTGTGGTTGTATCTGTAGTTGGGGACTCCAGTGACATGCCTGTCCATCTGTCTTACTGTGGTTTGGGTTGGTCTAACTTGTGATTGACTACATAATGACTCATTCATCCCATAGCATTCTACTTTACTTGTTTCCAAAGAGCGTTTTTACGTAAAAATTCTTTAGAGCCATATTCTACCTGCCTTTTACCCTGTCTACCTTTTATGGGGAATAAAGAAACTCTGGCTATGGATGGGCATATATATATTTATTAATTTATTGTGGGGCCAATGTTATGACAGTACTGACAATGCCATGCTGTTAGGCTTCTGACACCATTGTTATCAATGACATACAGGCAAATTTGGCATAGGACCCTATGGCTATATTACAGTCCGATACAAGCAAGGAATGTTGTTCATTCATCCCCACTGAAAAATACCTCTTCTCATTCAAAGCATATAGAAAATGATGTCATCACTTCATGTTTTAATAGTTTCATTGCTAAAAGAGAGAATATATGAATTATCTATATTTCCATTGACTTCATTTCCATTTGTAGCAAATGGAACTATGTTGTGGAACGTTTCAGGGGCGACAGGTAGCCTGGCAGGTACAAGGGAAAAATCTGTTGTTCTGCCCCTGAGCAAGGCAGTTAACCCACTGTTCCCCGGGCGCCGACGACGTGGATGTCGATTTAAGGCAGCCCCCCCCCCCCCCCCTCTCTGATTCAGAGGGATTGGGTTAAATGCAGAAGGCACATTTCAGTTGAATGCATTGTTGTACAACTGACTAGTTATCCCCCTTTCTATATGCAAGTACCATAAAATGTTTTGTGAATGGAGGGCAGAAGTGGTCAAGTAGTTAGTGTAGTACTATTTCTCAGTGTTTGCACAACAAAGCAACTTCAAACTCAACCTAACATTTTCTGTATGTTAGTGCGTAATGAAGTTGTTGTTAGGGCTATCCCTTCTTGCTGTAACATTCACAAACAAAACATTTATATTGTTCATAGAGGTTTTTTGTCCTTTTTGAATTGACATCCTGTGACCGACAAAGTTGATAAAAGTTGGTTTGATAAAGAGTCTATGTATGTTATAAGATATGACTAAATTGATTTATTTTTGTCATACCTGAAATTACTTGAAGTGTTTATCTGTAACGCTAAACTTTAAATTAAGTGAAGACCACCCCTTTCTAGGACATGTTTTGGATTAATTTACAGACCGAAGTGCTGAGATATTGTTATTCAAGATGTAAATTTACCCAATGTGGGTTTAGCACTGTGTTCTAGTAATGCTAACATCTACTCAGCACCATCGAGACCTATTCTGTTATCTTATTCTGAAGTTGGCACGGCCATCTATCTAGAAAATATGAGTTGTAGAGCGACACGTGAATATGAAGGCCAAAACGGTTGTATTGAGTTTGCTTGCACCAGCTAAATCATAGATTGGAATAAGACAATTTACCGCCTGAAATGTAAAGTTTCAAATCTGTCAACTTTTGCCTCCTAAAATGATCAATCCTGAATAGCCTATATCCATAGGATTAATACCAATTTACTATGAGATGTGTTTAGTTCAGAGTAAATTTAGAACGCACTTGGCCATGAGAGAGAAGCATGGCACTTCGTAATTTCAAAAGATAATAAATATTCTGACTCAATATTTATTATCAATATTTGTTCTTCCATTTGTATGAATTCTTCCTATTATGCATTCCAAAAAACCATAAGCAGTGGAGTTTGGTCAACTACACTGCTTTGGCTGTGCCTTCATATGATCTCTGTATTGTGATTTAATTTTTTTCATATTGTTGGATGTCATGGAAGTTGATTAGCTCATCCTAGGAGCACACTACAGAGGGGCAGCTGTGATGGGTTGGAGTTGAACTCTCATTCATTCACCAAGCAGAAAGAGATCTGTGTCCTGTTCATTATGGCATTGGGAGCCAAGTTTTTGAAAAATAACTGAATTGAGCTTCCCTTTTGGAAAAGCTCAAGTGGTACCTTTTCAGTTTGCAAACATTTTCTCTGTTTTGGACATTACTGAACACTACCCAGGTCTGTGAGCGAAGTCTTCAATAGAGGCTGAATCTGTGTCTGACCACCCTAGTGGGCATGATTTCTCAAGATTCAATGTTTGTAAGTGAATAAATTGTGGTAACATCCATCGTTGTTGCTCTGTTATTGAAAATAAAACATTTGATTGGACTTGTGCTTTGTCAGATGTTTTGTCTTGTGTCCTGTCCTCGGTAAGTATGCATATGGACAGTGGATACATCTACTAAATCCGTTATTGAGGAAATATCTTGTAGGTCAATTTGATAAAACAAACTGAGGGCTCGATCAGCCTTCATTTTGAGGGAGAGGGAGTGAGAGCCTTCCACTGTGTCCCAAGGGAGGGCTGTTATCACTGCAGTATCCTGTAGCCTTCATTCTCCCTGCTCCTCCTCTGATGGGTCATTGTGACTGTGTCACTGGGTCACATGCCACTCCTGTGGCGTCTCTCCGCCTGATGTTGGAACACTTACCATCCCAGCTTTGTGCCAATGACCGCACACCCTCTGTTGCCACCACACCAAGCACCTCATTCAGCCCCACTACAGTTCTTCCTTCTGGTTATATACTAATTAAAGTGGTAGACTCACAGAAGGAACGCTAACTGTTGCCAAGTATGGTTGCCTTTCAGACTGGAATGATATACTTGGGTTTTACTAATTCCAAGCAGGAAGGAAGCTAGTGGAGAGGTGCAGTTTACTAGGAACCTGTCTTAGCCATCTCTCTGGACCGAGCCATCAACCCGTCTCATACAGTAAATACTCTCTTTTTCTCTCTCTTATTGACAAAGTTGTTGAGTTGTGCCTTCCTCCCTACTCTTCTTCTCTTCCTCCTTGGCCTCCCTCTTTCCTCTCTTCCTCTGCTTAGTTCCAGCTAGGCCAGGCCAACAAGGGGAGGCTGGACAGAAAGCTTAATAAATTCCCTCAGCAATCAGTGTGTACTGGATATAATGAGCTGGAGATACAGAAACTATGTTGATTATCTCCTAACATGAAGGGAGATCAGGGTTATAGGGGTTTATTGGCACAAATATCCACATTCAGACACACCTAGAGATCTATTTGCAGTTCAAGCCAAAAGAGCCTTTAAATCAAGTTTGTTTAGTTGATGACCCTCACTTTGAGGTCACTTGGTACAGAAATAATGCCATTGGAAAATCCATGTCCTGGCATACAGTATGTGCTTGCCATAAAAAATGAGAATGTGATCATTTAAATGAAAGCGCAAACATTTTATTAACCAGTGCAACAGAGCCTCCATGCTTTATCCTCTGATCTAGACTAGAAAGTAACCTCAGTGGGAATGCTGGAACGTTGTGCATTACTGTCTGTCTCGCATTCTCACATTGTTTCACCAACATTTCTGCCCTCTCCTTTCCCTCTGTAACCCCTGCCTTAGTAGCACATCTTTGGCAGGTCTAAATTATCCATTAATATGAGAGAGGGGGGTTTATCAGACCCCCCCCCCCGACAGATTTATAGAGCTAGCCTTGAACGCTGTACCGTTTCTCGTGGACCTGAGCCCATGTTGCTCAAGGGGATCTGTGGTCTCGTCCATGTTACAGCCAACAAAATCTGTCTCTGTCTGCCTGAGCACAAATACTTTAAGCAGCTTAGCAATAGTCTGTTAAAACATTAGTTGGAGTTGAAATTATTGTTCCATTGTGTTTGTCACAAGTGTGTTTCTTGGTCAATAGCAGAATATGAAATGCGTGTCTACCAAAGCCACATGATTTCATTATGTCAAGGTAATGTACATTTTCTGGAAGATACTTTTTGCTAGGAGACAAGAAATTACACACACACACACCAAAATACTGTAATATAAAGTAAAGTCTTTAAGATCACTCAACCGTGCAAGTATGTCAGATAGCTCATACAAAGCCATCACGTGATTTCGATAAGTAATTTACATCAACTTAGCAAAGTTTGTCTGCTGTGTGAATAAATGTTTACTCGAAAGCGGTCATTATTGCACAGATATGGACTAGTACTCAGGGCTCCTCAGCTGAATGCATGGTTGCCAAGTGTTCTCACAACAATCCTCCCCTTCTGTTAATCTGTCCATCCTTTCCCTCCCACCACCAACACAACTACAACACTAAAAATAAAACAATCCAGGAGACAGGGATAAAGATCAACTTTAATTAATCTTAAAGCTAAAAACACAATAAGTCACTGAAATGGTCAACATTGCTTTGAGACCCCCAAAAAAGCCTACAAAAACAACTTTGCACTCTTTGATCATAAAATATTACACACTTTTAGTGATTCATGTTTTATGCAGTGTAATAAATAAGTGGTACAATGTGCTAAGCAGAGCGATCCTTTGAGTTTGTATTTTATATCTTGATCATTGTATCTAATCGCCTTGACATTGTATGGGTTTCCGTGTTTAGCACATACTTTACATTTACATTGTTATTCACTGCAGTTTCATAAACATCACAGTTGGATATATTGGCATTTCATCGCTCCTAGTACTAAACAGATCGGTCCATGTTGACCTCTGGGGTAGGGGTCAGTGGATGTGTCTCCTTCTCCCCTGACGCTGGCGTCTGATTGGCTGACAGAAGTTCTCCTACACTCCCACAGTACAGCAAGGAGCGCATTGGCCACTTCTGTCAGGACAGGAGACATGTTCAACTATAGTTAGTCTGTATGATTATAATAAACATACCAAATTATAGATTATAGTCATATAGATAATGTAAGTATTGATGCCTACTATGGACATCCTTTTATTACACTACAATTCACTCTGATATTAACTGAATGTCTGGACATGAATTTATGACATGAAACACGAAGAGATGATGATGAACAGATTTATAAACTATGATGACCAAGGAACTAAAAAGATAAGCACCCAGGTAGTTTGATGTCACCAACCTTGACTGGGTGGAGGTAGCCCCCTGCCCTGGGGGGTAGTGTGAGTTCAGACAGAGGCCCTCCCTGGTCCAGGGTCTCAGTAAGGTGGGCGATGTAGTCGGTGGCCAGGACCAGGACGTCCAGCTTGGAGAGCTTGGTGTCACGGGGGACGGAGGGCAGGGCTGCCTGTAGGCTGTGGAAGGCCTGGCGGAGGTTACGCACACGGCTCCTCTCCCTGGCAGCGTTCTCTGGGGAGTGCTGGGACTTCATGGCCCTGCTGGGCTGCACCCCATTAACACACCCAGACCACACCTGGACCACGCAGGAGGAGCAGAGACACTTATATGATTACATGGTAAATGAGCCGTCATTTATATGGAGATAGGAAATTAGAAAAGAATGTCATAACAATGAATTTCAAATTACAGATTTAAGTTGGTACACAACATCAGAGTGCACTATAACATCAGTTTCCATACCACAAGATCTGATGTGTGAAGTTAATTTAGCAAATATGTAACGTGACGGTTCTAAATATTGTGTAGTTCAGAAAGAATTCACAATGTAATTTTGTAGAGCTAATTAACATAAATGGAAGCAAGTATAGCTGAGATTGTGTAATTCAGAAAGAATTCACAATGTAATTTTGTAGAGCTAATTAACATAAATGGAAGCAAGTATAGCTGAGATGACCTGTTTCTTTTCAATTACTTTCAAGCTATATCCCTGAAGTGCCCACAAGTCTACTTTATTCCCTCCAGGTTCTGTAGAGATTTTACTTACCCACTTCTTAGGATCCCTGCGTGTGGACTGTCTGTGTCCAGGCTGCGGTGTTCTCAGACTGGACTGGTTCTGTGGATCCATCCTTGTCTGCTCTGCTGGGATGGACTTAAGATCCTCCAGCTGCTTCTCAGCCATGAAGACTTCAGGATCCCCAGCCACCTAACTGAAGACCAACCAGCCCCAAACAGATACCCAGCCACCCTACTGAAGACCAACAGAGACCCAGAGCTCGACTGCTCTTGACCGCAGCTACCCAGCCCCTCTAACAATCTCCAGTCACAGCTTCTCTGCTGCGCATCGTGGTCCACGTCCTCCCTCTCCAACCATCCCTCTCTTTCTCTGTCTCTCTTTCCCTCCCCTTGCCTTAACTGGTGAGGTAATGCAGGGATCTTCAAGCAGCCCTCATCTCCCCCGCCCACGCCTCCCCCGGGTGTGCTCTGCCAAGGGAAGCAGCCTCAGAGAAGTGGTGGGGTGTCCCAGGGCAGGATTCAGAGCTTGGGAAGCACCAGGATCTGGCAGCAGCTGGAGGTACCTCTGGTCCCGCTACCATGATGGAGAACTAGAAGGATGGTACTGCAGCTGGTACCATCATCATACTATTTTTGGCATAAAACCTTGAATGTCCCATATATTTTAGGTGTGCCCAAGACATTAGCAGAAAAACAGTATACTAATTTCATTAAAATGTTTATTAATATGATTTGTCCCGGAAATATGTATAGATCAGGATATTAGTGTCTGAAATACAAAGTGCTATTTATGTAATGCTATAACATTGTAAATAACTTGAGTAAATAAGAACAGAACAAGTGATCAAAGTAAAATACACATTTCAGTCTCTGGCAACTATTGCAAAAACAATAAAGAAAACATATCACCTGATATTTTATGCATCATTTGCTAACCACTCGGGCCTAGACTATGCCAGTAATCTGAACGAAGAACTGCCTGTGCTCTCATCTTCATAATTCAAGAACAACCTTAACAAAATTCTCTTCAATTCACTCATCAATTGATCCATTCATTATTTCCTAACTAGAATACGTTTTGGCAGCAGGCATTGGGAGGCTTTACCAGGGTTGGGGTCAATTCTATTTCAATTCAGGAAATACATTGAAATTCAAACTCTAATTCTAATTCTCTTCAATGCTTTTCAATGAGGAAAATATGGAATTTGATTTACTTTCTGAATTGACTGGAATTGAATTTGAATTGACCCCAACCCTGGACTTTACTGTATTATATTAGCTTGGTCCCAGATCTGTTTGTGCAGTCTTGCCACCTCATATGGTGGTTGTCATGCCAAAACAGCACAAACAGATCTGGGACCAGGCTAATATAATACAGTAAAGCCCAGGGTTGGGGTCAATTCCATTTCAATTCTAGTCAATTCAGACTAGGCTAGTATTATATGCCAATGGTTGTAAAAAAGCCAGCTATGGCAGAGGTCTCTCTCTCTCGCTATGGGTTTATCAAGTAACTTCTGGCACATTTCAGTGCTATCATAACACCAGTGCTAGCTGACCTAGCAACTGGTGCTGTTTGGTAAACAGGAAAGGCAGATGTGTGGACTAAAGCATCACTTCTTCCTCTTCTCCTGTGTCTTGGTGAAGTTCTGGATGTCCTGGGCCATGAGTTCTGGCTCCTCCATGGCAGCGAAGTGTCCTCCTTGGGCCATGGGTGTAAAGGTCTTCAGCTTGCGGTACATCTGCTGCACCCACAGCTTGGGGGTGTGCATCAGCTCGTTGGGGAAGCATGCAAAACCAGTGGGCACGTGTACTGGCATGCTGGGTAGAGAGGGAACGAAGAAGTGTATTAGTTTACTGAAACATAACATCTGTTTGAGTCCTTTCTACTTTAACAGCATGACTTACCAGGACAAAGTCCTTTATGTTCTGAATGTGGAGTGCCTCATGCTAGCTAGACTATTACATCACAAACATACAGTAGATATTACAGCACATACAGTAGATATTACATAGCAACAGTCCTCTCACTTTGAATGTGGCTGGTCAAGACCCTTGCTAAAGTTCTCCTTGTAGAAGCGCATGGAGGAGATGATCCAGCCAGATGTCCAGTAGATCATCACGTTGGTCAGCAGGTCATCCAGACTGAACTTCCTGCAAGGCAAGAGAGGTGCTAAAAAACAAAAGCCATAAACATGGACATGGTAATTTGACAAAGAAGCCTTTGAATACTATACTATTTTACACCAAAGGCTGTGGTTCAGGTTTAAGACGTTCTACCCGTAAGTCCTCCATCATCCAGGTTCCTGAAGTCATGGTCAGTCCAGGTGGAGAACTTCTCCAAGATATAAGCAGCAAGACCCACTGGAGAATCATTCAACCCTCGACCTACAGGAAGAGAGCAGACACATACAGAACCAGATATATGTTACAGCACAGTCTCTTATTCCTGGTCCTGGTCTATACAGAAGCAGCAGTTAAAGCGGTGTGTAGCCCCGAACGCTTCCCCTTCAAAACTTCCCCTTCCATCTCTTACCCACAGTGTCAGGCTTGGTGGCCTGGATGTGCATGTATCCTGACTCCTTGACAGACTCCACCACTAGGTTCTGCACAACGGGGTAGATGCGCTGGATGTCATGCTCATTGAAGCCAAACATCTTGGGGAAACAGCGGCCCAGCATTATAGACAGAACCATGGGCAGGCCCGGCTTGGAGGGGGGAGCAAAGTTGAGATGCAAGCCTTTGATTATTCTGGGGCGACAAAACCAAAGAGCAAAGTAGAATCCGAGTCAAACTGCGAGGCTTCCTGACTTCATATCATTCACAGATTTACGCTTCAGAAAGTATTCACACCCCTTGACTTTTTCCACATTTTGTTGTGTCACAAAGTGGGATTAAAATGGATTTAATTGTCATTTTTGGTCAACGATCTACACAAAATACTCTATTGTCAAAGTGGAAGAAAAATTCTAACATTTATGAAAAATAAAAGTATTCACCCCCCGAGACAATAAATGTTAGAAACACAATTGGCAATGATTACAGCTGTGAGTATTTTGGGGTAAGTCTCTAAAAGCTTTGCACACCTGGATTGTACAATATTTGCCCATGATTCTTAAAAAAATTATTCAACCTCTGTCACGTTGTTTCTTGATCATTGCTAAAAAGCCATTTTCAAGTCTTGCCATAGATTTTTCAAGCAGATTTAAGTCAAAACTGTAACTAGACCACTCAGGAAAATTCAATGTCGTCTTGGTAAGCAACTCTAATGTAGTTATTGTCCTGCTGAAAGGTGAATTGTCTCCCAGTGTCTGTTAGAAAGAAGACAGAACCAGGTTTTCCTCTAGGATTTTGCCGGTGCATAGCCATATTCCGTTTCTTTTTAACCCAAAAAAAACTCCCTAGTCCTTGCCGATGACAAGCATATCCATAACATGATGCTGCCACCACTATGCTTGAAAATATGAAGAGTGGTACTCAGTGATGTGTTGTGTTGCATTTGCACCAAACATAACAATTTGTAGTCAGGACAAAAAGTTTAATTTCTTTGCCACATTTTTTGCAGTATTACTTAAGTGCCTTGTTGCAAACAGGATGCATGTTTTGGAATATTTGTATTCTATAATCGGCTTCCTTCTTTTCACGCTGTCATTTAGGTTAGTATTGTGTAGTAGCTACAATGCTGTTGATCCATCCTCAGTTCTCATATCACAACCATTAAACTCTGTAACTGTTTTAAAATCACCATTGGCCTCATGTTGAAATCCCTGAGCAGTTTCCTTCCTCTCCGGCAACTGAGTTAGGAAGGACGCCTGTTTCTTTGTAGTGATCCAAAGCCTAATTAATAATTTAACCATGCTCAGAGATATTCAGTGTCTGCTTTTTTTTTTTTTTTTTACACATCTACCAATCCGTGCCTTTTTTTGCGGGTGATTGAAAAATATCCATGATTTTGTGGTTGAATTTGTGCTTGAAATTCACTACGTAATTGAGAGACCTTACAGTTAATTGTATGTGTAGGGTACAGAGATGGGTTAGTCATTTAAAAAAATTATGTTAACCACTATTATTGAACGCCGAATGAGTCCATGAAACTCATGTGATTTGTTAAGCACATTTTTACTCCTGAAATTATTTGCCATAACAAAGGGGTTGAATACTTATTGACAAGACATTTCAGCTTTTTATTTTTGATTAATTTTGAACATTTTCTACAAACAAAATTCCAATTTAACATTATGGGGTATTGTGTGTGGGACACTAAATCTCAATTTCATCCATTTTAAATTCAGGCTGTAACACAACAAAATATGGAAAGTGGTGTGAATACTTTCTGGAGGCACTGTAACTCATAAAACATGATAATGCATTCTAAATACCCTTAATGAGGGACCAAACATAATATTGTCTATGTCTCCCATGGCCTAGGCTAAGATCTGGCCATATCTCTGTGTGTCTGTCTGTCTTACTTGGGCTCCAGCTGGGCCATGTTGGTGGTGATGATCCATCCCCAGTCTCCTCCGTGAGCATAGAACTGTTGGAAACCCAGTCTCTTCATCAGCTTGTGGAACACACGGGCCGCACACACAGAGTCAAAACCTGAAACATAAACAGAATCATTCATTAGGAAAAAACGAATAAAGTCACCTAATATAAAGTTCATCTTGCAGTCACGCTTTGTTAGATTCAATGGGCTAGGCATTTACAGTGCATTTGGAAAGTATTCAGACCCCTTGACTTGTTCCACATTTTGTTACGTTACAGCCTTATTCTAAAATTGATTTAAAAAATGTTCCCCTCATCAATCTACACACAATACCCCATAATGACAAAGTAAAAACTGGTTTTTAGACATTTTTAGAAATGTATAACAAATCTAAAACTGAAATATTACATTTACATAAGTATTCAGACCCTTTACTCAGTATTTTGTTGAAACACCTTTGGCAGCAATTACAGCCTCGAGTCTTCTTGGGTATGACGCTACAAGCTTGGCACATGTGTATTTGGGGAGTTTCTCCCATTCTTCTCTGCAGATCCTCTCAAGCTCTGTCAGGTTGGATGGGGGAGCGTCGCTGCACAGCTATTTTCAGGTCTCTCCAGAGATGTTTGATCGGGTTCAAGTCCGGGCTCTGGCTGGGCCACTCAAGGACATTCTGAGACTTGTCCCGAAACCACTCCTGCGTTGTCTTGGCTGTGTGCTTCGGGTCGTTTTCCTGTTGGAAGGTGAACCTTCACCCCAGTCTGAGGTGCTGAGTGTTCTGGAGCAGGTTTTCATCAAGGATATTTCTGTACTTTGCTCCCTTCATCTTTCCTACGATCCTGACTAGTCTCCCAGTCCCTGCTGCAGAGATGGGAGAACCTTCCAGAAGGACAACCATCTCCACAGAGGAACACTGGAGCGCTGTCAGAGTGATCATCAGGTTCTTGGTCACCTCCCTGACCAAGGCCTTTCTCCCCCGATTGCTCAGTTTGGCCGGGTGGCCAGCTCTAGGAAGAGTCTTGGTGGTTCCAAACTTCTTCCATTTAAGAATGATGGAGGCCACTGTATTATTGGGGACCTTCAATGCTGCAGACATTTTTTGGTACCCTTCCCCAGATCTGTGCCTCGACACAACCCTGTCTCGGAGCTCTACGGACAATTCCTTCGACCTCTTGGCTTGGTTTTTGCTCTGACATGCACTGTCAACTGTGGGACCTTATATAGACAGGTGTGTGCCTTTCCAAATCATGTCCAATCAATTGAATTAACCACAGATGGACTCCAATCAAGTTGTAGAAACATCTCAAGGATGATCAATGGAAACAGGATGCACCTGAGCTCAATTTCAAGTCTCATAGCAAAGGGTCTGAATACTTACGTAAATATGGTATTTCTGTTTATTTTATTTGATAAATTTGCTAACATTTCTAAAAACCTGTTTTCGCTTTGTCATTGTGGGGTATTGTGTGTAGACTGATGAGGAAAACAAATAATGTAATATATTTTAGAATAAGGCTGTACCGTAACAAAATGTGGAAAAAGTCAAGAGGTCTGAATACTTTCCGAATGCACTGTATGTGACCCTTGACCCAGCCAGGCTTCTAACCACTTACCTTTCTTATGTGGAGCCTCAGAGAAGCCGTACCCAGGGATGGAGGGACACACCACCTCAAACACAATGTCGTCTGGGTTGGAGGGTTCAGTCAGGAGGGGTATCATCCTGTAGAACTCGTAGAAAGAGCCTGGCCAGCCGTGCACCATGAGCAGAGGCACAGCAGTCACGCCCTCAGGGAGGTTCTTGGACCGCACATGGACGTAGTGGACGTCAATGCCTGATACATGGTTCAGAGGATGCTTGAATGAACCATAAGTCATTTCCTGGTGACTCAAATTGTTGTTGTTTTTTATGCAAAGTTTGACGTCGACTTAAAGTTACGTAGTCTTTACTGGCAGCCAATAAATCTGCTTGTTCAGTTTCATCTTGTTCTAAATGACAACTGATCACCACATAACTGATCTCTACACACCATCTCACCTTCGATGTTGGTTTTGTAATGTGGGTATTTGTTCAGTTTCTCCACCTGTCTCCTCCAGTCAAAATCATGTCTCCAGTAGGAGACCACGTTCTGCAGATAGTGGGAGTTGAAGCCGTAGTTGAACTGGCTGTCCTCTAGAGAAGGGAAGGATCGGGTCTGGTCTATTCTCCTGTACAGGTCCTGGGGGGAGCATTGGGTATGAGGTTCAACTAATCTTCAACTAAACACTGTTGCATAAGCCTTAACTATCTAAGAGCAAGTTCGGACCTCCTCTAGGCCCATAATACCTCTCCTCATCTCACCTCCAACTCCTTGTCATCCATCCGGACTGTGTAGGGGCGAATGCTGACATCTTCTTCCCTGTCCGGGGGAGTCCCCTCCCCCCACCAGCCATCCTCACTCTTCAGCTGATGCCTCTTACTCCTCTGCACCAGGAAGTAGATCACTCCTCCCACCACCAGGGCTAACAGAACCTCTGTAAACATGGTGCTGCCTTCTGGGTTACCCAGTGAACAGGAGAAACAAATCAGGGATAGCAGACATGTTACAATCGATGCCCTTTATAATGCCATTCATGGTTCTTATATGTACAGTTGAAGTCGGAAGTTTACATACACCTTAGCCAAATACATTTAAACACAGTTTTTCACAATTCCTGACATTTAATCCTAGTAAAAATTCCCTGTTTTAGGTCAGTTAGGATCACCCCTTTATTTTAAGAATGTGAAATGTCAGAATAATAGGAGAGAGAATGATTTATTTCAGCTTTTATTTCTTTCATCACATTCCCAGTGGGTCAGAAGTTTACATACTCTCAATTAGTATTTGGTAGCATTGCCTTTAAATTGTTTAACTTGGGTCAAACGTTTCAAGTAGCCTTCCGCAAGCTTCCCACAATAAGTTGGGTGAATTCTGGGCCATTCCTCCTGACAGAGCTGGTGTAACTGAGTCAGGTTTGTAGGCCTTCTTGCTCACACACGCTTTTTCAGTTCTGCCCACAAATGTTCTATAGGATTGAGGTCAGGGCTTTGTGATGGCCACTCCAATACCTTGACTTTGTTGTCCTTAAGCCATTTTGCCACAACTTTGGAAGTATGCTTGGGGTCATTGTCCATTTTGGAAGACCCATTTGAGACCAAGCTTTAACTTCCTGACTGATGTCTTGAGATGTTGCTTCAATATATCCACATAATTTTCCTTCCTTATGATTCCATCTATTTTGTGAAGTGCACCTGTCCCTCCTGCAGCAAAGCACCCCCACAGCATGATGCTGCACCCCCGTGCTTCACAGTTGGGATGGTGTTCTTCGGCTTGCAAGCAACCCCCTTTTTTTCCTCCAAACATAACGATGGTCATTATGGCCAAACAGTTCTATTTTTGTTTCATCAGACCAGAGGACATTCCTCCAAAAAGTATGATCTTTATCCCCATGTGCAGTTGCAAGCCATAGTCTGGCTTTTTTATAGCGGTTTTGGAGCAGTGGCTTCTTCCTTGCTGAGCGGCCTTTCAGGTTATGTCGATATAGGACTCGTTTTACTGTGGATATAGATACTTTTGTACCTGTTCTCTCCAGCATCTTCACAAGGTCCTTTGCTGTTGTTCTGGGATTGATTTGCACTTTTCACACCAAAGTACATTCATCTCTAGGAGACAGAACGCGTCTCCTTCCTGAGCGGTATGACGGCTGCGTGGTCCCATGGTGTTTATACTTGCGTACTATTGTTTGTACAGATGAACGTGGTACCTTCAGGCATTTGGAAATTGCTCCCAAGGATGAACCAGACTTGTGGAGGTCTACACATTTTTTTCTGAGGTCTTGGCTGATTTCTTTTGATTTTCCCATGACATCATGCAAAGAGGCACTGAGTTTGAAGGTAGGCCTTGAAATACATCCACAGGTACACCTCCAATTGACTCAAATGATGTCAATTAGCCTATCAGAAGCTTCTAAAGCCATGACATCATTTTCTGGAATTTTCCAAGCTGTTTAAAGGCACAGTCAACTTAGTGTATGTAAACTTCTGACCCACTGGAATTGTGATACAGTGAAATAATCTATAAACAATTGTTGGAAAAATTACTTGTGTCATGCACAAAGTAGATGTCCTAACCGACTTGCCAAAACTATAGTTTGTTAACAAGAAATGTGTGGAGTGGTTGAAAAACAAGTTTTAATGACTCCAACCTAAGTGTATGTAAACTTCCAAATTCACCATACACAAAAAATGTATGCACGCATGACTAAGTCGCTTTGGATAAAAGCGTCTGCTAAATGGCGTATTATTTATTTATTATTTAACTGTAAATGCTTAGTAGTGAGTGAATGAATATTTTTGTTTGTAGGCTGTGTTGCATGTGGTTTACAGTAGAAAAAGAATCAGCAATACCTGAAATGTATGGTTACCAGTACTACAGATATACACAGACACACACATACTGTAAGTCTACCATTATGCGAACAAATTGCTACTGAAACATTTTGATTTAATTGAACAGAGGTTTGCAGAAAATGTTTTAAAAAATAGAACAAAGTAGCACTGTTGTTGCACAGAATTCCTTTCTGAAAGGATTAGGTAAAGAATGGAGTGGACAAGGCCCCATAGTCACAATTCATGGGGGCCAAAATGCATGACAAAGCTTTTTTTCTGGCCGGCCTCTGATACCACAACAACTTTCATAGAGAATTTAGAAACATATCAATCTGATTTCTTTGTGAGCATCTCTTTATTGATATACTTACAACTGACAACTTGTTTTCACCTGACAGAAAATTAACCATGCATTATCCATACAGCAATTCTGAAAATAAATGTGTCCCTTTGGATCTTGTGATTACAAACTATAAAATATAAGTACTGAGCCCTGGAAGTTCCCTCCATGAGGACAAAACAAGCTTTTTTCTGGAAGAAGCAGATGGCAACCAGCAAAAATAGGCCTGGCATGAGATCATATCACATTAGTCCTGACATTTCATTTGATATTTATATATTTCAAATAACAGTTGGATAGGCCTACAATGGATAGGCAAAAAGTTTTAGCCTACTTTAAATATGGACGAATGCTGCTTTTCCAAAATTGTTATGTACTATTATTATTTTGTCAAAAATATTCTAGCCTTCCAGTTCTATTGATGCACCTGACCATTATCTCATTACAACAATCCAAACATCACACCTTCCAATTGGATCAACTTGCAACAATGTTTAATTATCCTACATTCCATAGGCTATGCCTACATTGTATGAAGGAATATCGATTAATACATTTTCGATAAGAAAAAAATATTGCCCAAGAATACTTTGAGCTATTATTTTGGATTGCATTAATTGCAAGAGCAGTTAATCTCACCTGCTGCTGGTTTGTTGTTCCACGAGATGCAATGACAATTCTGCCCTCTGCCAGTTCTCGAAATGGAGACCCGTGATTCATGGGAAATGTAGTTCTTGTCTACTGGTTAAAGACATCCTCTAGTGAGTTTTCATCATTTCCTGTTGAAAAGTGATATCCCAAGTATAAATACAGTAAAGTACATCCACTAAAGGGTAAAAACATGCTTTGAGCAAAATAGTGTCTATTTAGACAACTGCGAACTTTGAGTAATGCATGCAAGGAGTTGGTTTGATAGAAAGTCCTCTCCCCTTGCTTGAGGCGCAATAGAGAAGACAGGGAAGCCCCCCCCCCCCCCCCCCCCATACATGTCATGACTTACCTGGACTACCTATTGAGATGTTCCTTTTGTTAAGTAAATCAGGTGATAAATGAGGTGAAACGGAGACTGGCGTGCCACTTTAAGACACAACTGTGCAAACATGAGGTACAAACGCATAATAAGAGAATGATCAGATGCTTCTCCAAGCGTGGTACTGACCTGGCTTGATGAGAAGTTATTTTCAATTAAATGGAGGATGTCAGAAAATCAGGCATTCTTGATTATTAATAAAGGAACATTTGAAGACATTCAGCCAGTGTGCTTAGTATGGCAGCTTGAACAAAAGCAATATGGGGAGATATTGAAATGGAATCATACAATGCATTAAATCAAAGTCTTTGAGTTATTAAGAGCTGTTGGCTGTAACGGGGGTATAAACATTTATTGAGTAACGCAATCATTTACAGAGTTAACTAAATGGCATTGGAGGCATAGCTCTTCTTTCAATAAAATAGCATGTGCGAATATCAAAAGGTCATGCTTCATTCATGTTCACTTAAACATGGTCATTTTCATTTCCCGATGTGGAAATAAAAAATAAAACAAAATAAAATAAAAATCTAACCATATACGTAAATAGACATGCGTCTCTCCATCTGTTTTTAGTCCATCTTAAAACTGAAAATAAATACAAGCTCTTTAAAAGAGCTCCAGCAAATCCCTCTTCAGAGCAGCGAAGGTTATGCTCTCCATTTTCATTTTTGATTCCCACCACCCCTCCCATTTCCCCCTCCACCCTAACCCCTCCAATTTCCCCCATCCACCCTAACCCCTCCCATTTCCCCCATCCACCCTAACCCCTCCCATTTCCCCCATCCACCCTAACCCCTCTCATGATCCGATGTCGTCATTCCAGCTCCGTTCTCTTCCGTTGTTTGTGCCATTGACACACCACAGTCTAGACTCAAAGAAGAGTTAATACAACTATGGGTAAGGGGTTCAGTCCATTTCCATGGCACCACTTTCCTTGGACACCATAAGCCTCATCAGTTTGCCATGCAGTTTCTCTATCTTCTTCACGTCCTGAGCCTGGTCCGTCTTGTATTGTAAACACTGCAATAGAACATGATAATGATTTGTGGATTAGGTAGAGGGAAACAGAAGAATAGTTCACAAAATGAAGCCAACATTTGTTATTTAAAAAATCTACAAATCAACATGTCTACAAAGTCTTGCAAGCAACAAATTAGTGTAGCTATATAGGATATGACAACAGTATCTTCTGACCGGGGGAGTTTTGTTAAGAGCCCTGATGCTTGCTCTAAACATTAACACGCATCGCTTGCGGTACGGTTTTGGAAACATAAGGAATGCATCTTTCATATCATATCTGTAAATAGCCCACCCAACTACCTCATCCCCATATTGTTATTTATTTTGTTCATTTGCACCCCAGTATCTCTATTTGCACATCTCTCTCTCCAGTGTTAATACTAAATTGTAATTATTTTGCACTATGGCCTATTTATTTATTGCCTTACCTCCATAACTTACTACATTTGCACACACTTTATATAGATTTTCTATTGTGTTTTTGACTGTACGTTTTGTTTATCCCATATATAACTCTGTTGTTGTTTTTATCGCATTGCTTTGCTTTATCTTGGCCAGGTCGCAGTTGTAAATGAGAACTTGTTCTCAACTGGCTTACCTGGTTAAATAAAGGTGAAATAAATAAATACAAATCAGTGAGAAATAAAATAAATACAAATAATGGCTAAATTACTACACACCTTTATAGGGTTAGGGTTCCCAGATGGCGATATTTCCATGTAACAGCGCTTGTTTACGAAAAACAGATGGAAGACAGAGTGGACTACCTCTGCTAATTAGTTATCTGTGTCTCCGAACACCTGTGTTTAAAAGGAAGACTGACGCCAGAAACGTGTTGTCACTGAAAAATACTGTGAGCTGTAACTGTGTTAAAACCGGTTAACACTGTACAGTAAAGTGTGTATTTTGCATTTGTAAAAGTATTTTGACGTGATTTGAAAGTAGAGGGATTTATGTTTCTAGAACCGTACTGCAATTGAGAATCGATTCAGGTGTAGTCCCCTGTAGCTCAGTTGGTAGAGCATGGCGCTTGCAACGCCAGGGTTGTGGGTTCGTTTCTCACGGGGGGGGGCAGTATGAAAATTGTATGCACTAACTGTAAGTCGCTCTGGATAAGAGCGTCTGCTAAATGACTAAAATGTAAATGTGAGTATTTGGCTGTTTTGGCTTCCAGAGCATGTAAGGTCCTTGGACTAGGAGTTAGGCTCCTTTAGTCCATGATTGGGCTACGTAGGATACAAACAGATCTGAGCAGAGGGAGCAGACTGTCTTCTCTTTAACTTACCACTGCATCATCGGTGACTTTGATGCAAAGGTTACCATCACAGTGTCTGTATTTGAGAACCACCCTGACCTGTATCAAAAGGAGAGAAGAAAACACAAAGATAATTGAAAACGCTTAGCCTATTTATTTAAATATGCAACAGCCATAGCTGCATGTATTACAACATGGTTGATTATCTTCATGATGCTCACACATATTTCAAAAGTTGACTCGCGTTAGTTAGGCAGTCGTTTCCCTTCCTATTCACATTTGCCAGCATATTTAACGTTAACTACTGTTAGCTAACAGCTGGCTTCGTTAGCTGGCTGCATTGCTTTTAAAAACGGCTAACAAACTAGCTAGCTATCCTGCACCTAGACTTCATCACTCTAACAGTGATGGTTATTATTGGCTATCACATCTATTTGTGCTGTGAAATAACCATTTCTAAATACATTTTGCTCGCTAGCTAACTAACATCAATTAGCTATCAAGATTTCAAGCTTGCTCAACAGAAGAATGTCGTACTAGTTAGCTAGCTACCTTCATTGGATCTGTCAAATATAGTTTTTCTGCTGCACGAGCGAACTCTTCCCATGTTTGATAATAAGGCATAATCCGTGTGAATAAGAACTAAAATATAAGAGAAAAACTGTATAAATCGACCTGTGAGGTTTACAAGCTAACTTCTTAAAACCCACATCAGCGAACCACCAGACAGAAAAGACCGATGTATACAAACGTCTGCGATTGGACGAGTGCTATGCTGACCAATCACAGAGCACAATACTGTGGAGTTGAAGGTATGTCGTAATTCTAGCAAAGATTCTACATAGCTACGAGACACGATACTCCTCCAGAGAGAAATCCACAATCTTTGCTATACAACCATGGCGGCCTTCATACATCAGCCAGTAGATGGCAGAAATAAATAGTTTACCGGTATGTTTTTTCAAGAGCGCAAGAGAGAGCTTTCGTTAGAAGAAAGTGAACGGAACAGAAATGAATACAATTAGGTTTAATTCTTCTTGACAAAATTATTTTTCTCAACAGAATAAAACATACAGTATAAGAAATTCGACTCAATATTTCAATATTTATTTCCACTTTTAATTAAATAATGGCCTGTTTGACAACAAACCAAAGAGATTTGACAAACAAGAGCAGTCCATAGACCTATATGATTATTGATCAAAAAAAAAAATATATATATATTATTAACCATATTAATTTTACAAACAACTTCCATTTCCACCCCTGAAACTTAATGAAGCAGACCTGAACGTACATTTAATTTTACGAACATGATGTAGCCTAGTTTCCTTCCTCCTCTTTTTAGGGAACATTGAGCAACTGGCATTTTACACTTTACATTTGACACATATTTGAAAGATTCACTCATATTCTATTTATCTGTATCATTATCATCACATAGGCTACTATATCACTAGTGGTCCGTTTTAGTGATGGTGACATCAATGTGGCATATTTGTTTCACACAGTGATATATAGATTAGATTGATGGATGACACTGAAAGGGCTGTCTCCCTGATTTAACCCAGCCACAAGTCACAAGGTCTGGCCACCTGTGGCAGGACATCATGTAGAAATAGGCTCCTCTCTGATCTCTGTCACTGTAACAGCCACATAGGTCTATACTACACCCTTCTAGGCAGGGATTCTGGATGTATAGTTGGAGGATTGGATGTTGAGTAATTATTTTCTCTAGAATCTAAATTTTGCCACACCCCGGACATATAACACACTATTTATCTTTTATAATAAGCTCAGTTTAAATAGCTATTTATGATTTAACTACATTCATGGTTGCTCCCCAGACCAGGTGAAACTTAACTTTAATAAGAAATCAAATAGCCCACTGAATCTCTAGGCCAGTCGGTCTATATCATAGCTCTATATCAACTTTCTTCTCAGTCTCTGAGATGCTCTGACTCTCCTCCCTGTTCCAGGATTGGCAAAAAATAGCATAATGTATAGTTCATGTAGCCTATAATTAATCCTCAATCTGAAACAAGCACTGGTGGATTTACCATTAGGCAGAAGAGGCCATTGCCTCAGGCCTCACATCATCAAGGAGCATCATGAGCTGGGCAAACATTTTTTAAACCAAATATATCTGCTAAGAGGCCCCCCCATGCTCCACTCGAGGCATAATAAATAAATAACATCCCCATCAAAATCTGTCCGTTTAAGCTAAAGATATCTGTTTTTCATGGGCTGCGTCTCAATCCATCACATCCGCATCTATGGTGGAAGGTGGCAGAGCTACAGCGGTGTTTGTCAGACCATAAGACATCTCTAAAGTGTCACGGGACTCGTCTGAAGGTAACCCAGGGCCGGGCCAAAAAATGAATGGAAGTGATATGGCATTTCCACGTCAAAGGTATAAAGGGAATTTCATGTTATTTTTTTCATTTTCCTGAGCTTTCTTATATCTTTCAGATATAGGACAGACCCTTCAAAACATACTTACATTTTTGCATTTTTGACCGTTTTTTCCATGTATGAATCTGTTATTCAATGCGTTTCTATGGGCTAATAGCAGTAAGGCCAAATTCATAAAAAAAATAATAATACGTACAGGGGACCCAATAGCTAAATTATCGTTGTTATTACCATCTTAAAACAATTCCATCTTTTAGCTTAGTAGTAGTCTCCTGTTGACATACTTCCAAAATCATGTCGCTGTTACTCCTCCCTTGGAGGTCTGGAGAATTTTGTATTGCATGGTTTGAATTGTCCCCTGGCTCCCAGATGCAAGATTTTGATTAGCTGTTACTTTTCAAGAACACTCCCCCACATGCCCGTTGGTGCTACGTGTTATGTTCCTCAAAATGTTTTGATGGACACATTTTGCAGATAGTTGTTTCATATGCTAGTTTGCAACATTGCAGAAAACGGAAGAAAACCTGGAGGAAAAACGGAATTCTGTTTTGTCCGAAGTGTGCTCTATACACAAAATCAATATACATCAACATATTTTGATGGGGTTTTATTCTGCGATTTCCCGTACATCCTCACCATTGACTGTAAAAACAATTGTCACGCACTGTTGCACCTACGCCACTAATCTAGTGAATACTATTGGAGCTCCACCTAAACAAGGCGTTTGATTGGTTTGACGTGTAGCGAGGCGTCACTGATTTACACCATGTTTAGCAGTTTTTCTGCCATGAACTTCCCCAAGCTTACCTGAACGAGGGAAGTTTGGTTCTCCACGAGGCAAGCTTTGTATAAACCCAGCCCCAGGCCCTTAGACTCTAGGGGGATACAATATGCATTTCTTTAGTAAAAAGACAGGTGCTGCTGATAATACTGCCATCGTCATCGAGGCAGAGGACATGCACTGTATGTGTACCCCATGTATCTGATGCTGTCTGACCAAAAAGAGTATGGCATGTCATACTATTTTTTGACCAGACAGCATCAGATAAATAGGCAACATATAGTAAGACAGAGGGGCGCTTTTTCACTCGCTCGGATGCTTTCTCCGTTGAGATAGACTTTAGGTGGACTAGAACTCTTTAGATAAACTGCATTCTAATGCTCAGTTCAAGGATCTGGAGCGCTGCGCGAGTGGAAATTTGAAATGGAAGTTATGGAATTCCCTCGCGGTCCTTGTGTTATGGGAAAAAGTCCACAATGAAAATGACATTAAATATGGAGATGATAAGCTACATTTCCATATGATGGCTATCAAGTGACCTATTAATTTCTATGCCATTGCAGGCTACCATTTGATACAATAAATATATATTGAAATGACGATATCACGAGTCATTGCAAATCAATATGTGCCACTTGTGTAATCTACCTGGAGCTGGCAAACTGATTTAATAAATAGCCTATAACTCCGTTTGTTGTTGTAGCCTTGTGTTATTATGCAATTATTAATGGCCATGTTTAGATAATTAAATTGGAAGTTATCAATCGTGATCATGGTCACAGCTCTATCGCAAATGTATCATTCTCCACATTTCATTTCAGTTTCATTGTGGACTTTTCCCTGAAATGAGATGTTGGCATGTTAGCCTGTCAGGGACTATAGGCTCCCTGCATCTTGCTCAGCAAACTATGGCAAAATTGAATTTCCATTATAAACCCATATTTTAGTCAGTAGCCTATGCATATTGAAATAACAAGTCACTCTCCCAAATAGGACATTTATAACGGGTTGTAGTCTTAACATCTGGCACATAATAACAGCACAATTGCCAGAAAATAGCCTAACATTCGTTTTTTAAAAGTTCATCCAATTATTTATTGCACAGAGATTTCGAGATCATCTGTCCAACTTTCCTCACTCAAACTCTCCTGTCGGATTTATCTATATAAACTGGGTGGTTTGAGCCCTGAATGCTGATTGGTTGAAAGCCATGGTATATCAGCATTGTACCACAGGAATTACAAAAACATATTTTTTACTGGTCTAATTACATTGGTAACCAGTTTATAATAGCAATAAGGCACCTCCGGGGTTTGTGGTATATGGCCAATATACCACGGCTAAGGGCTATATCCTAAGAACAGTCCTTAGCCATGGTATATTGGCCATATACCACACCTCCTCTGGCCTTATTGCTTAATCATAGCAGTCAAAACAATTTAAATCGACATCCATTGATGGAAATTGATCTGGAGAGTTTAATAAGGGCGATTTATCTTTTCTCTTGCAATGATTTCTTAAACTCGCCCTAATTATTATTTGATGGAAAACTGAATTTGGCTTCTTAGCCTACATCGTTAAAAATGACACCGATATTCCTTCTTAATTCGCTCAATAGCGTTATGGGAAAAGGGTTTATTGGATAAATGTGTCAACTCTTCTCTTGCTGCGGCAAAAAATGTTGGGCTAGTTTTCAGGCCTTGTGGGCAGGTTTACAGAGGTCATTGGTCTAGATATTTTAGCTAGACCTGGCTAACCGGAATGTAATCTTTACATCATAATGCAGCAGGAGACAGTGGTTTCATACCTGTAGCACATTCGATTTATAGCCAGTAATCTAAAATAATAACATTTTCTGTTTGTCATAGACAGACAAGATTAAACCTTTTACTGCAGTGGGCTAAATAAGGGTCACACAGAGTGTTTCTTGGTAGTCTTAAACAAATCTACTTTGAAACAAAAGTGTACACCTCACACACATGGTTATGGGCTTAAAAAAATAAGACAACTGTACCATGTCAGATATAGAGTTGAAATGTATTCAATTTTGAGTTTGCGTCCCAATATTACACTTTATATACATCACAGAAGACTGAAATATAACAAAACCGCTTGACATAGAAATACCAGAATTTTGGTGTGTTTTTGTAATAATGCTGATTAATTTTGAAATTATGAAAAATATGAATAACATTCCATCCATGAGGCCACTAGGTCATTTGACTGCAGGAATATAATGACATGAAAGGCGAGTTCCTAACGAGTTCAGGAAGCCAAGCTAGAGCTCTGTTAGACGTTACAGCGATGGGGGCAGACATTTTGATCAAGAGAGACCTTTAGAAAATATGCACATTTTCTCTAACACTAAATATACAAATATGTATTTTACAGTTATAAGGAAGGTGAAATCTTATAGTTAGTCGTTTTA